GGGGGGGGGGGGGGGGGGGGGGGTCTTCCGATCCCCTTGGCCCGTCTGTGGCTGCTGCTCCTGGACTCGCTACAAAATTTATAATATCGTTGGACGAGCGAGCACTTCGCACCATCCAACTCGTCAACAACGTGGATTAAAGTTTTCGTTCGATCTAAATATATCTAAATAGATAAAATAATCGATAACTCTAAAATAGTTGCTACATATTTGAGAAATGAGTTGTTCTTCATTGATCATAAGGGGTCCACATGTAAAATATGGACTTTCTCACTATTTTCATTGGTTGATAAGTGGAACTTTTTTTAAAAAAATATAATTCTTTTATGATATGAATGTATTAAGATCTATAAAATGAGACTTTAAGACTACTTAAAAATTTGACCCCAAAAAATGGGTATTTTTCCATTTCCTACATGCCTACATCTATCCAAATTTAGGTGCTCCGAATCCGATAGTCCGATTTAAGGTAAGGCTATATATAATGAGAAGGTATATGATACAACTGGATATACGGTACATTCAGGTAGTACTCATTCTCGCAGAAACATAATTAGCGTAATACTCATTATAAAATAATGCAGTACTCATTTTCATACATTGATTCAATATAACTATAATACTCATCTATAAATAATGTAGTATTTATTCTGAAACAAAATAAAACTCATTCTCAAATAACTTAATGTTTATTTTCGTGTAAAATAAAATTTATACTATAATTAATTTTTTGGTTGTATCTAAAATTGGGTACAAATAGATTGTACTCGGTATAATATAATTTGCCCCATACAGTGTTCCTATTTCTCACCAGATTTCCGTTTCTGTGGTAAATTACGATTTTCCTCAGATCTGAAACGAAGCAAAAATCAGTACGGAGTAAAAAATAAAAATAAATTAAAAGTGTTTTCTTCGCACAATCTTTTCTCGTTAGGGTTTTAAGAGTCAAGAATTGTTTGGTAAACTTTCCGGCGAACTTTCCGATCCCGGCAAAGCTGACTTAATCCTGATCTCCTCCGTCTTCATTAATGTCTTGGGCTAGTGCAGAGGATATCTATCTTTCTACCTCTCTTGCCAATTATCTTGACAGTCAGTTTCCCCTTTTTCTTTCTTTTGCCTTTACTTTCTATCGCGTACTTGAATTTGTTTAGAATGTTAGTGTGAATTGATGTTTTAGCCTCCTGCTTTTTAATTTTGGGTTTGTGACTTTGTGAATTGTGATATTGCCTGATTGATGCCTTTTGTTGAGTTTTTTTTGATGTGAAGAACACTAGTTAAGCATTGATTGTAGTAATTCTTGAAGATATATCTCATGTACACATAGTATTTTTCCTTAAATTTTTATTATCACGGGCCGATCAGTGTTTCTTTTGGACTTGTTATTATGGCTTTTTTCATCTTGTGCGGTAGATTAAGAGCTATGGGACTTGTTAACCTTAAAAAGGCCATTGCTTTCACTAGAATTTGCTTGTATCCTGTCTAGGTTATCTTGACTGTCATATTTTTTTGCCTTCGGCAGAGAAAATTCTTGTTTTGCTGCGAGATGGTCGAAAGCTTTTGGGGATACTTCGCTCTTTTGACCAATTTGGTATGTTTGCTCCACTTGCATGTTTTTGACTGATGGTATACATACATAGCCAATTCATGTTGTTTTCCTGCACATTTCAGCCAATGCTGTTCTTGAAGGAGCATGCGAACGGCTTATTGTTGGAAATCTCTATTGTGACATACCATTGGGTTTGTATGTAATTCGTGGAGAAAACGTGGTCGTGATTGGGGAGCTGGTAAATTGCTCTTTTTTCTTGCATTTGGTTCTACTTAATTCTTCAGTTCATATGTTTATGCAGATTTTTTAAGTAAAGCTTTTATGTGATTCTTCAGGATTTGGATAAGGATGAACTTCCACCACATATGGTCTGTGTTTCAGTTGCAGAGATAAAAAGGGTACCATACTGCCAAATCCCTTAATTAACTCATGAACATAGTGACACAAAACTTGACCAACCCATGTTTTATTATCGGTATTTATAATTCGTTTAGTACTATTTTACAAGACGTATTCTCTCACTGGACAAATCCTGCAGTTCAATGAAACGGGTCATTAACTGTAGTTAGTTTCTGTATTTGATTGGGTTAGGGTTATAAGCAGGTCTTGTGCCTTATCATAGAACATAACATAAGCTGGAAAACTATGTTAATGTCAAACTTTAATCTTTGAAAGCAACCATTCACCAAACATGATTTGTTGTCTAAAAGATGCATGTTATTGTGTAATTACACCACCCCACCCCATCTACCATCCCACCCCACATTCCTGAGAGAGGGGGAGGGGCGGGCGTGTGGGCTTCGGGGAGAGTCTAAACGCACAAATGAACGTCATCTTTCTCTTTCACATTGCCTTTGGTAATCAACATTTATATTCATCAATCTCTCAATTATATAGGGAATAAATCAAAATGGATCTCTAAACTGTCTGCACTTCTTTAATTAATGAAGTAGCAGATAGTCAAGCAATGCAACTTTCGACGTGTAGCCGGGGGTCTCTTTGGAAACAGCCTCTCTACTTTCGAGTAGGGGTAAGGTCTGCGTACACACACCCTCCCCAGACCCTACTCTTCTGGGATTTAACTGGGTTGTTGTTGTTTTCTCTCAATTATATAGGGATCATCCCAAGTCTTTGTGGGTTTGAGCATTGGTTGTCTGTACTTGTTTTCTCTAATTAATGTCCCTACAATGATTTTAACAAATCAGATATATTACTCAATTATCAAGGAGTAGGTATACCGCATACTTATCTGCAACCACTTACATGATTAATGCTTATACTCTGTACTACTCCTTAATAAAGTAAAATAACTCCTTGAAATGTTAAAACATTACTTGGTTCTTTAATACTACATATATTTTTTACTTTTGTGTAGATGCAAAAAATACTACCAACATCTCAAAATGCGTAATAGTGTCCAAAGTATTATATTTTGATTTACAATCTTTTAGTCTCGTGTTCTTGCTGAAAAATGATTTACTTTTTTCCCAGGCACAAAAGGCAGAAAATGAGGCAGCAGATCTAAAAGGCACAATTCGGAAGAGAATGGAATTCCTTGACATGGACTGATGCACATTTTACTGTGATGAGATTGCCAGGGGTTCTGCACTTCTCTCATGTCTTCCGCAACTATTTTTTCGCGGTTAGCACACAATGTAAGTAGGACCAGATGGCCAAACACCCCCCCCCCCCCGCCCCCTCTTTTGGAATTCGTTGTAACATTTGCATTGAAATACATTCTTGTTGCTAGGCTTGCAATCATAATTCTTGTTAGTTTCTTGAAGCAGCTTTTCTGCTTGATAAAATATAACAGCCTGCAAAAGAACTACTACTTTTTATTAGAAATGGTCAATTGTTTTCACATTGCCAACTTATTAATGTGGTTGTACTGTTAACGAGATTATTGTATCTTTAAAATGAATGTTCTCTTATAGTGCTCATTGGTTCATTGAAAGTTGTAATGGAAAGTTTTGTGTGGAGTAGACTAGCAAAACGCCATGGAAGCAATAATGTAGTTTCTCTGACATTAGTGCTAGAGTTTTGCTTTAGTATTATGAAAAATCTATCCAATGATAACCTTTGGTTTTCCATCCTCTCCGGTTGAACCAAAGATTCACTATTTTTTTTGGCTTTTTGGTGGAGTAAAGCAAAATGACTCTTGAAGTTGTTTGGACTTCTTTTACTAATGAAACAACGATTAGTCAATGCAACTTTCGGTGCTCCTCATGGGTCCTTTGAAAATAACCTAATATTTTAAATATAGGGATTAGGCTATGTATGTTATTTTGTGTGGTGCTTGTGAACTGGGCTCTCTTTTGGAAACTCCTCTACTTTCGAGTAGGGGTAACATTTGCATATACACTACACACATTTTCCCATACCCTACTTTAATGGGATTCAATTGGATTGTCGTTGTTATTAACTCAATGTTTTGTTCAAGAAATTTTGAAGAAAAAAAAAATTTCTCTTATTTTCCACATTAATTGGGTTGTCTTTGTACATTTTGCATTCTCTTTTTTTCTTCTACTTTTCTTTCTTTTTCCACTCCAACCAAAAAAGAAAAATTACTTTTCATTTTATTTTCTATTTTTTTTTTTAAATTTCTTGAACCAAGCATAGTGTAAATGTCAATCTTTACTATTACGTAGTACTTTATTTTAAGCTCTAACTCTAGTTTCATTTGTTTCCAAACTGATATATAGTCGGTGGCGCGATGTTAATATAGCAACTTGCAACAAATGAGAACCAAATTGGAGAAACCAAGATGCGGCAGAATCAAATTTCAACCTTCTCATCAAATTAGTGATTTTGGCGTTGAGAAATTCAGTTGTGTATAATCCGCAAAATTTGATGCGTACTGTTTTTTATCCGAAACTCGATCCAAATATAACAGAGTTTAAACATGCTTTTCCTACCTGAACCCAAAAATAACCGAACATCCATCATATTTTTAGATTGGGTTGGGTTGGGTTGACCCGATGGGGTTTTTTAAAACTTGGTGAAGAATTTTTACTTATTACTCCGTATTAATTTCCGTCCCAAATCTTTCTAAGGCTACATTTCAATCACCTGATATGATTTGATTTAATTTTTTAAGATTTGATCTAGTCTGACCTGATTGCAATTATAATTAAAGCTATTTTTGATATGATCTGATTTGGTCTGATCTAATTTAGTTATAATAAAAGTAATAAGCAAAAAAATAAATTTAACTAAACACTACCTAATTGAACCCTCGCACATAGGGAAACTTTTTAAGACCCTGAATGATTTTTTCTTTTTTGAAAAAGGCAAAGACCCCATTCTTTTTTAAGCAGTTTTGGAGTCAATTTGTTCAAGGGCCCGTTTGGAACACGGATAAAGAAAAATACAGAGGAAATAAACATCTGTTCAAACTCAATCTATGTAATTTAGTATTGACATTTATAGAAGTTGGAGATGATCATAAACTTGAGTTCTAATTGGATAAAAGATTGATCATTGAGACCAGAAGAACAGCTTTTGCCAAAGACATGGAATAACCAAAAGACATGAACAAGAATTTTGCCAGGGAACAATTTATTTTTCTTCCATGCTCCCAAACACTAGAAAAAAACCAGCAGATAAAATCCAACAAGCTAACTATATCATTATTATTGCTAAATTTGCTAAGGCAAGTAAAAGAAAATATTAGGATCCAAAATCACAGAGCAATCAACCAATCAGTTTGGTGGTGGGAAGAAAATCTCCTCAGCAGTCCTCTTCGAGCTGAACTCCTTCTCCACATCTTCAGGAACATTGAAAGCAGCCTGAAGCACTTGAGGCGACAACGCCTTCCACACCGACGTCCTCCCCGCCAAATGAGTGAAAACCGGACTGCAAATAACAACACAAATTGTTCGTAATGATATACTCCCTCCATTCCATATTTAACCGTCCATTATGATTTTCTTGATACATTGAAGAATGACTGAATGTAGACATGCAGTGTGTCTACATTCATTCATTTTTCAATGTATCTAAAAAGTGATAATGATCGGTTAAAACGAGTCGCGGATATTTCATGTTTAAACAACAAACACTTACTTAGGGGTAGTGATGATGGAGAACCACTCCAACCCAACTGGATCCGAAATCTTAGAGACGACAAAGAACCTTGGAACAATGAAAAGGTGCCCCGCCTTGACTGTGGTTTCCAAGACGCGCTTACCGTCGACACCAACCACCTGAGCTCGTCCGCTCCCTCTGACAATGTATGTCACCTGTAGTGCAGAGTCGCAAGAGAAGCCCGGGGAGCACATGGAGTTCCCATTCAGCCTGACCAGATCAGCACCAAGTCCGACCTCACCAACCAAAGGCAAGTTCTTGGTGTTCAAAACCACAACTTTGCCACCGTCTTTTATGTCGACGTCCAAGGGAGCTTCCTCGCAGTTCAAAGCCATGCCGTTCCTGTGGGCCAGGTTGGGTTCGGGCATCTTGAAACTGGGATCAAGTTTCACAATCCCCTTGCTAGACTGGCTATTAACCAGCTTGTTCACAATGGTGTCATCCACATTCCATGCCCTTGACACAAACTCGGTTGAGAAGCCGGTGAAGATGCCGTTAGGACCCGTCAAGAAGAAGTCGGTGAACGAACCGGGTTTTTGTGCCGTTTTGGTGTCACCGAGGAAGAGCACCACAAGCTCTGTATCTGCCTTGTTGTACCACCACGTAACGACACCAAATGGAAGAGCAATGGCATCTCCCTTCTTAATGGAGATAACCTTCTCTTCTTTCTCGGGAAGGACAATTCCAGCAACTCCACAACCTGATCAAGATTCCACAACTTCGTTGGATCATAAGAAGAAAACCCTATTTTACTCTACTTTGGTCTTGATTAAGTTCGTACGTTTCCTAAAACAGTTCAAATTTAAAGGTAATATAACAAAAAAATACGTAAAATTATATGCCATTAAAGGGTTTTATTAATAAATCACAAGAAATTTGTTGACAATTCATTCCAGAAGCATCAAATAGGAAAAGTAAACAACAAAATTCAGATTTTCAAACGGATAAAGTATGAAGTAACAATCATTTGTCCAGTAAAATTCCCATCATAAAACGCACACAAAAAATCTGATGGATGATCAGTACAATTTGGTTATATCCGATCCACAAAAAATAGGGTTTAGGGATTAAACCCTATTTATATCCACAAACAATCATGAAATAGAGATCGAAATTTTGAAGCGTATAAAATCTAGACTACATTCCACGAATTAATCATAGACAAATGAGATCAGAGAAGACAACGATTTAGCAGGAACAGATTTTACCTTGAAGAACATATGCGACCTTGGCGGAATCAGAGTAACGAGGAAGAGCAAAGCCATACTGTTCCAGAGCAAGCTTGGCGGCGCCGATGTTGCCTTGCTGGAGCATTGGGAGCTCCTCCGGTGACCACGCGTAGTAAGCGCCGCCATCTCCGCCGTACACCTTCTTCGCCAACTGTGGGGAAAGATCGAGATCCATGGCTATCAAAGATTAATGGTTTTTTTCCGCAAGCAAAAAAGAGATATAAACCATTGTACAGATGCTTATGGTATTTATAGCTGATGATTTACAGATCTTAATTTAATTAGATAATTTTCCTCAAGAAAAAATTTAATTGGATAATAACGGAGTAATAATAACTTTATCCCTAAGAAAGAAAGAGATTAAACTGGATAAGGCTAAAAGAAATCAATAACAACTACAATTCCGATGTTATTCTGATTTGTTTTATTTTATTTATTTTTATTGAATTGTTAATTCCGAATGATTAGAGTCCAAGATGGTATCGTATTTAAATTAATCTTATCTTTTGTAATATCCATACATGGTATTTAAATTAATGATCTTTTAAGGGATTCATGTGCCAATCCAGATCTTTAAGAGGGTGTTTGGCAGTGCGTTGCTTTTAATAATTTAGCTTCTGCTTTGGGTGGAAGTGGTCTTACTCTGTTTGGCAAGTTAGTTTCTACTTTTCAGCACCACTATTTTGTACATAAAACACCATTTCAGAGAAGCAGGTATGAGTTGCTTTTGCTTTCAGCTTTTGTGGAAATTACTTTATCCACAAGTTAATCACTCACAAACACCCTCTAAGTAATTAAAATTTACGGTGACTCCTTTTTTGTACTTCCTCCCTTTTAAAGTTTTTATTTTTAATTTACCATTTAGATTTGTTTTTTTGAATTGGGAAAATTAATATTTAGCTATTTTTAACTCCTTTTGATTTTTTCCAACTCCTTCCAAAATTTTTAATTACTTCTATTTTTTTTAGTGACTTAAAAAGGTATTTATATATGATAAATTTACAATAACATTAAATATTCAAATTTATAACATACCAGTATACCATTAAACACGAACAATGATAAATGCTTTCTTAATCTAAAGTTAGAGTTTTCTTATATATTTATCTGGATGATCATTTAATTAATTGACTTCTTAACACTTAAAATTCTTTTAAAATTTTCAAACTCCTTCCAGTTTCTTCAATGCAAAATAAAAAGGGAGAAAAACCAACCAAAATAGCACTCTTAGAGTCTTAAAATACTTTAAATAACAGTGCTATATGTTTCGTACATATGATTCCAATTTTGTCCTTTAATTAAACAGCAAATATTCATTACACACTGCAAAAAAATATGATTGTTTTGGGCAGTGTGGTTGTTCACTTGCAACAGCGTAGTGCAGTGTGATTTTTTTATATGTGAGAATTTAATGTGGCAGTCTAGAATTGATCTATGTTGTTCCTTCTTACGATAGTGTGTAAGTATATTATTGTGTTCCTTAATTTCATGTTGGAGTATAATGACCATTAATTTATGTGGCAGTGTTTTCATGTATAAATTCTACACTGCCAAAAAGTGTATGACTGCTTTCATGTATGAATTCCACACTGCCCAAAAAAAGTATAGCTCTTTTATATATGAATTCCACACTGTTTTCATGTATGAATTCCACACTGTCAAAAATCTGTATGATTATTTTCATGTATGAATTACACAATGCCCAAAAATGTACAAATGATTTCATGAATAATCTATTACACCAAAACACACTGGCCAAACTTGGGCGTTAAATATGAAATTTAATTTAATACGTACGAACTTGTTTAGGCATTTTACATTGGTAAATTGCGTATGAGGAGGATCTCGCAGAGCCATGATAAACGGTGTAGGATGATGTTCTCGCACGTATGAGATGCACGAATTAAAAGGAGCGGCTACGTGAATAGCCTAAGTTTAATCAAATAATTAAAAGTAATTAAAAAAAGTAGAATATAATAAAAGGTAGAGGGTATGCTTGGAAGATATTGACACTATAAATTGCTAAATTCATATAAAAGATTAGGGAGTGCTATATGTGTAATACTAGTATTTTGACCCGTGCCATGCACGGGGCCGAACAAAAAAATTTTCAATTCTTTTTTTCATGTATTATTTTTTGTGGATTAAATAAAATAAATTTCTTACATGATTTTTAATACTATATATACATCAACATCAAAATAGAATGAATAATATTTGAAGAATTGAAAGTATATACAAAACAAAGACTTATTAAAATCCAAATTTTTTGAAACACTTCAGAATATACAACATTTTTGGTATGGTTGCAAGAGTTTCTATTGTCATCTAAATAAACATTTTTAATTATGTATTTTTCTTCACTCGTGAAGGAACAACATAAAATTAATCATAAGTGAATGCTTACTTAGTTAAAATAATCTAACAAAAAATAATGTTTCACCATAACTTTTGTTAATAGTCATAGCAAAACATAAAACTATTGGGAATTGTCTTTTTTTGAAACTTTAGGGGGTAGCCTTGGATCATGTGGTACCAAATTTATTCGAGGTATGTAAACCTTTTTCCCGTCTTGATTTCTCGAAACCACGATTGCACGGTTAACATTTTTTCGTATCTCTTCAACAATTAATCTTATACCATTATACAATCCAAATAACATAATCAGTACACTTTTTTTCAAAACTATTTTTTGAATTGGTTTGGGATCCCCGGACATCTGGACATTTGATTTCATTCAAAAATTCAAATGTTATCCAATAAGCATCAACCAACACCTACATTGGCATCTGCTTGCCATTAAGAATCATAACTCAGTTACTCCTTTTTCATCACTGAGAATGAGGAATAAGACAAACTCATTTATCATTTCAACAACTTTGAAAGTGGGTGCTAATGGTGCCTAATCCTAAAAAAGGAATATTTTTTCATATTCTCCAATAACTTCAGATAAGTGAATTCCAGTACTATACTCTTGGGAGGATAACTTATGTCAAGAATCAAGAATCCAGTCAGAATTTTAACGTCAGCAATTCCACCAATCACTTGACCAAGCTTTCCATCTCCAATTTTGATTATCTAATCAGAAAAAGCTTGTGTATCCCTATCTAGGTAAGAGGATATAGATGAATGCAATATCTTATTCTTGCTCAACGTAAAAACTTTACAATACAACCTCTATTTTGGGGAAATCACTGTAGCACCTATAATTTTCTATCTCGAAGCTTTGGTAAAATTGGAAGGAAGTGGCAAAAATCACTTCCGAGTATTATTATTTTTCATCTGAATGGTTCATTTCTAGAGTTGTTATTGTAGAACCTCAATATCTCTCTCATTGTGTGATCCAATACCTCAAAAACAAATCTATTCATCACGCATGCTTCATCTCATATGATTCCACTTGCTTGTTAGATTAATTCTGCTTTCGGACCCCCCTTATTTGATAGCACACATTAAGCACTCAGTTAAAGCCGGAGAGATTGAGAATCTCGAGTGTGCTATCCTTCCACCATGCAAAAGCAATGCTGCAATGTCACTGGATGCAACATTCAAAACAGCCTTACATACCATTCGTTCTTGAAAAGTAGACATTGGTTTCTATATAAATGTTTTCCCAAGTCTCCCGTAACCATATAAAAAAAACCTCCTCTTTTAGATATTAGATTTTGATTATCACATCAGATATCTTTCTTTGATCTTCATTCATCGTAGATAAATATCCTCTAAAATCAAATGACAATTTTTCTTTGTCATAGTTCAAGTTCTAAATCAAGAAATTATTTTGAAATCTATTTAGAAGACTATCATCTGGAAATGACATAACACTGAACTCCTTTAAAAATATATAATTTTGATATTATTTTTAAACTATTCCTTTACTTTATAATAAGGTAATAAGGTATGATGTGTAGGATAAATGATTTTACGGTGTGCCTTTTTTCTAATTTGAAAAGTTTTGTGNGACGCCTTTCTTTGTATTTGAAAAATTTAATGGGACGGATGTAGTATAATTTTCTTCAAATATCTAAGGTTATTTATTTATATTAGGCTTCCCCAAAAACAATTTACTTAAGTAGTCAACATTGCGTATGCATTTTTTTCAAAAAATATCTTCAATAATTCTAAAATTATTATCGTTGGTTTAACGCATTGAAAGTCTTATTTCAATCTATGAATTTCGTTTTAAACATATTAATGATTCTCGACAAATTCTATGGTGGACTTAAGGTGTACCATAGACGTACATATGAGCAAAATAAGTATTTCTTTATTACTAAAATAAGCATTTGTTTTTATAAATAAAAAAATTAAAAAAATATGTTTTATGTGAGAAGGTCCACAAAAATGATACGCACTCAAGGTGCACCAAAGAAATACTCACGATTCTCTCTCTATTAAACAATATGATTAAGTGTCCACTTTGGATATTATTCCCTCCGTCCCCATAGATCTTCACAATAGCCTTTTTTCTTTGTCCACAATAGATCTTCTCATTTCATTTTTTAACAATTAAAATACCACAACCATAATAGTCTTTCTCCTTTTTAACCTTTTCAATTTGTTCTAACTTAAATGTATTATTATTATTATTATTATTCAATGGAAATATTAATTTACATAAAAATAAATTAAACATATATTATCAGTAGAAAGAACTATGATATTTTTTTACATTGTACTCATTATAATTAATCAAAATACATTAGAAAAAAATTTAAAAATTACTCATCCTAATTATCTTCTTATTTTTCTACTTCGTAATTATATTCTAGTTGCCGTATAAGGTACTCCGTATATATTAGGCATATTAATTAGAATTGGATCTTTCTATATTTTAATATAAAAGTGCCAAGTCATTAAACTCTTCAAAGGTGGCGGATGACTCATAAAAAACTTGCCAAGTAGACCCGCCACATGTCGACATTCTGTGAGCCCGAGTCTCAAATAATATATATAAAGGATTGAGTGACTTAGAGTGCTACGTAGGGTGATTTCTAATATGGAAACCTATTTGTTATAAGAGATCAATTATGGAATTTCTCAAAAAAAAATTATGTGAGAAGTTTCACAAAAATGGTATGCACCCAAGGTGCACCATAGAAGCACTCTATGTGAGAAGGTCGATGTAGACTTAGGTATACCATTAGGCCATGCAGTGTGCTATGCAAGAAGGGGATGCGAGATGCTAGGTGGCGCAGGAAGGGAAGGGGAACTGTTAGTTCTATATTGTGTTGGCATTACTTTTTGACAAACGAATATATTTACCTAGAATTATTTAAGATGTTTTATTTAGACTTAGAGTCCTAGCGTGTGCAGAAAGAGAAAGAGGAAAGAGCTTGAAAAGTGAATTATAATCCTACTTGGTTTACTATTCTTGAAGAGGAAGCCATGATTGAGACTCCTAAGTAAACTCTAACAGGGTTATTCTATTCCATATAATATCTTCGCCTTCCCTTACGGTTTTGGGCGTGCGAGAGTACAAAAGAACATAAGCAGATCCGATCAAAAAAGAAAGAAGCAGATTTTGACGGTTCAAATTTTCTAGACAGCCTGCACGAATTTGATCATCGCTGGAGATCCAACGATTGGATTTTGCTGAAACTTTCAGAGAGTGTTTCCAACACATAGGGTTTCAATATGTTCAATTTTTACGTCAATCAAAGTTACGGATCTTTTGTTATCGAAGTTACGATCTACATATTGGAAGAGGGTTTGACGCTGATTTATTGCAGAAAATGCAGCTCTGGTTTTGTCGATGATCGGAGTACCAAATCTTGTCCGATCGTGCTGAAATTTTAGGAGGGGTCTAAGGACTCGTGGAGATTCAATCTGAACAGTGGAGATCAAATTCCAATGGTTCAATCTCGATTTATGAGCTTTCGATCAATCTGCATATTTTTGGAGAGCAAGACAAAATCTTTGTTTGAAGGTGTACTGGAATCTACATCCTTGAAGAAGATTTTAGAGAAGGTGTAAGAAGCCGTGGAGATAGAGCAAACAGAGTTTGTCATCAAGTCATTCGTAAGTAGATAGATCAATACATTAGAAGGTTCTATTGTGCTTGATTGTGTAATTTATACGATGATTTATATGGAAGTGAGCCACGCATACGTAGGAGAGTTACTCCGAACTGCGTAAACAATTTTTGTGCACTATTTACTGCTTTTACTTTATATTCTGCGTATGTGCCTATGACAGAGAAGATATTATAACACTCTATCTGTCATCTGTTTACTGTGACAGTGCTGCGGTATCTTCTCTACAGCATAGTTGATTGATTTGTTTGCTTAGCTTTCAATTAGAGATTTCTGCACCCCCACAAACTTTCAAGTACACCGCCCCCAATGTGTTAACGGAAAAACGGGTTCCCCATCTCGTTTTTTCCGTTCTATTTTTCTGCTTTTCATTTTTTAAATTTTGATTTTTTGATTTTTTTTAGTTTTTAAGTTTTTTTTTAAATTTTGAGGTTTTGTAAGTTTGTATTATTTAATTATATTTTATATATTTAGTTTAATTATTTTAAGAAATATGTGCACTAAATATCACTAAAACTTAAGTCATTTCCCTGAATAGCACTTAAAATGTTTTATTCTTTAAATAGCACTTAATAATGTCCATAATGTCCAGTAAATTCCTCTTATTTTAATTTAATTATGTACTACCTCCGTCTCAGAGTAGTTGTCCACTTTCATTTTCACACACCATCCAATACACTTCTTTAATCCATTTTATCTTGTAATTTGTATATTAAAAAATTATAGAATTTATATATTAATAATCTACGAAGTATATGTTAGGACAAATCAAACAAGATCACACATGACTATATTTAGGCTTACATATTGAGAAAATTTGATTAGTCAAAGTGCTTAGATGAACAATTTCAAAAGTCAAAACTGGACGAATACTCTGGGACGGAGGGAGTATTAAGAAATAAAAAAGTAAATTTTTATTGTTTTTAGTTTAACTATATAAATTAAAATAAGTGTTAAAAAATAATAATAAAAATTAAAGGAGAAAAAGAGAATTCATTTGCCTAAAAAGGGGAAAGGAAAGAAAAGAAAAAATAAAAATAAAAAGTGACGTGTGGCTGAGTTTGGAAGGAGCGGAAGAGGGGAAGAAGGGAAGCACAGCTCATGACCCTAGTACTCTTTATTTTCCAAGCGGGGAGAGAGCCTAAATATAGCAATCGCTTACTTCAGCTTTGTTGGTGAGTCACCATTAGTCCAGTCTTTTCTTCCCTCACGAATCCCCACTCGCTGAATCTCTCTCCGTCGGTCGGTGCTCTGCAGCTTGAGCATCGAGCCAAGCAGATCCGCCGTGTCGGAATCAGCTCCGTCAGTGCAGCTGTCTTCGCCGACAATGCCGACCAAAGCTAAATCCGGCGTGGTGACGATACTTTGCATATTATTGCTTCGTTGGACGGATGCTTCAGTTCATGAGTACTCAGCGGAGAAATTCGCGAGCAAAGGCAATGCGTTTGTTGTCCATGGCGGCAGCGAAGGAATTTACTCTTACAATCGGAACCGCAACGAGTCGTCCTCTCTATCTTCCAACGGCGATGCTTTCATTCGGTGATTTTTCTACTCTCTCTGCGTGTTAGCACATAATTCTATTAAGATCTCGTCTTTTTATATCTGATTTGGTTCTGGTTTCACGCATTTCGTTAATTATTATGATGTGCAGAGACATTGTGACCTTTGAATTCATGATGTTTTGGATTTTCAGTTACAGTAAACGAGTGTTTATTTTTTGTTGTTGGATCAGTTGAAATGGAGTCCCTGCTTATGATATTAAGTGTCGAGGCTTTGAATTTTCATTTGCTCTGTGGTTAGTGACTGCTTGATTGTGCTTGATCAGTTAAATTAGTTCTTTTTGAAAGATAAGATGGATTTGTGGTTGACAGGTCAAAACATGCAAAAAAGTTTAAACATTTTATTTTGCAATTGATTTCATTTTGATATGCTGAATCTATTGAGTTCATTTTTTTTTAGTCTTTTTTTGTTGTTGCAATTTACATGGGATTCGCTCATTTACAGCTTGATATCATCCCCAATTCTCCATTGCATTTTATAACGTACACTGAGTTTGTACTTGATGAAGAAGTACATAATATACTTTTAAGCAGCTACTACACCAAGCAAAAGAAGATTGTAATTTATAGATGCTTTGATTTGTGTTTTCCACACTTAATGGTTCTTCAAAGGCGTGGTTAGTGTGTCCTATTGAACTTAGTGCATGAAGAAAAACTTTTGCCTGACGCCCTGACCTGTTTTCTCTTACTACCAGCTTCGAGAACATTATATTCCAGAGGCCAAAAGAGTTTTCAAATTTCAGCTCAGGATCTATTCATGCAGTTGTTTTTGAGGTGGATGAGAGAGAGTTGATTGGTGGCTCAGCCTATGGGGGGCAAAGAGCTGTTTGTTGCACAGCAGACCTCTCCAAACTTGGTGTCTGTAAGCAAGGAGAGATCATTCACCGCCCATCAGCTACACATCCTGGCTGGCCTCAGGTTTTCAGTGTCTCATTCGATACTGATGAAGTTGATGCAATACTGCAGCCAAGAGAAATACAGATCACAAAAACAGGGATGTATAATTTGTATTTCATTCATTGTGACCTAAACCTTAAGGACGTTGTTGTTGAAGGGAAAACCATATGGAAAAACCCCACCGGTTACCTACCTGGTAGAATGGCACCACTCATGAACTTCTATGGGCTCATGTCTCTTGCATTCGTGTTACTTGGAGTCTTTTGGTTTTCACAATATGCTAGATTCTGGAGAGAAGTTTTAACACTACAAAATTGCATTACCCTAGTAATAACGTTGGGGATGTTTGAGACAGCGTTGTGGTATTTTGATTACGTTGAGTTTAATGAAACGGGGGTCAGACCAACTGGGATCACTTTGTGGGCTGTTACCTTTGGCACTGTGAAGCGCACAGTTTCTCGTTTAATTATTCTGATCGTTTCTATGGGCTATGGTGTTGTCAGGCCTACCCTGGGTGGTATTACATCTAAAGTACTTATGCTTGGAGGAACTTTCTTTATAGCATCTGAGGTGCTTGAGATAGTAGAAAATGTTGGTACAATAAGTGATCTCTCAGGGAAGGCAAGATTGTTTTTTGTACTTCCTGTTGCAATTCTGGATGCTTTCTTTATCCTTTGGATATTCAGCGCCCTCTCTAAAACACTCAACAAGCTTCAGGTAAATGACTTATAAGCTGGCATATCCACTGATTGTAACTTCAAATCAACGTACATCAATCTGGGAAAGTGCTTTAATTATTTATCTGCTAGTGGTTCAAGAATAATTGCATAACTAGTGTTTGTGTGTGACTTACAATGATGCGATTATTAGACAAATATCTTACATGTTAGTGTTTTCTTTGTACTCCGTATTTGATTTCTCATTCTTACATTTTAAAAAATCTGTACTGAGATAATATTTGCTTATATCAGTGACAAACAGACTATCTTCACTTGATAAATGAGTGCTTGTCCAATTTCAGTTTCAATTGGGTAAAGGTTAGAGAAAAGGGGTCATGTCTTGACTTTGGTGGTTCGATGATCAATTGGCATTACTATAATTCATTTTTTCATGAAAATGAAATTTATTTATTCAAATGTTGTGATGTAACAGGCTAGACGTTTGATGGCAAAATTAGATATATACAGGAAGTTCACAAATGCATTGGTGGTAGCTGTTATTGTCTCTGTTGGTTGGATATGCTATGAGGTAATGCTTGTAATCTAGAGAGTAATAAGGCTTTTAACCTGAAAGCCTTTGTGTGCTTTCAAACGCACCATTATATTATCGAAAGGAATCGAAGACATATCAATTGACTTTCAACTTTAAAATTTAATCCAAATCTCAAAGAAAAAAATAGTAATAGACTAATAGTAATAATAATAATAATAATAATAATAATAATAATAATAATAATAATAATAATAATAATAATAATAACCATCGTAGCTATGTGGTATATTGTTCTCCACATAATGATTAGTTAGAATGTACCCCGGAGTATATTGCTGATGGAATGCGGTTTTCACGTTTTGTGAAGTGGTTAATTTCAAAGATATTTTTAGAAGAAAAGAAGGCATCAGCTCTTTTAATATTTTAATCTAGTGGTAAAATGGTAATAAAGTGTATTTCCCGCCAGTATCTGAAAAATGGCTCTGAGCTATTTAGGAAAAAGGGCTGATATGAAGCTGCCTCTCTCGAAATCTGTGATTATAGTATGTATCACTTTATTTTGCAGCTATACTTCAAGTCCACTGACATTTACAACGAGCGATGGCAAAATGCATGGATCATTCCTGCTTTTTGGCAAGTCTTGTCTTTCTCTCTTCTCTGTGTCATTTGTGCTCTTTGGGCGCCATCACAGAGCTCAACGAGGTAAGTTTCATGACTCACATCATAAACTAATTGATTTATTATGATTGCATTTACTGCCTGGTATTTGAACATCCAATGTAAATTACAAATGCACGCTTCTTTTTAAAAAAATCCCCATGTATAGTTCGCAGCTTGGCGCTATGGATTTCTTAACCTTCTTTGTGATTCCTGAATTCACCCAGACACTAGGCACTAGGCCCCACTTTTTACACTGTACAAAATCTAAGACTTTTTTTAGAACATTTGGGGTCGCAAAGTATGTCTCAGAACGTGCGAATGAAAGAATTGAACATGTAATGGCCTTCATAATTACCCAAATCGTTATAAAATGCTGTAAACTCTCCAGAACTCACATGGCGTGTGTTTGTTGGAATGGACAGATATGCATATTCAGCGGATGCTAGTGAAGATTTTGACAGGGATGATACTCTGACTCTCATAAAGCCTTCACCCCTTCCGTCCAAGGAAGCACGGACCCCGTCCGAGGCTAAACCCGCAACCGGAGATGGTAGCCGGAACGGAGATTTGGAAGAAGACAAAACTGAGTAAAGCGAGACAGATAAGTTTTCTTTTGTACAGCGGAGTTGAGTGTGTTAGAATCATATGTTTTGCTCATGTTACTCTTATCGAAGGGATCATTCTTGTTTGTTGTACCATGTTTAGTTCATGTTCTTCTTGTAATCAGTTGTACTGTACTAGTCTACTGCTACTGCTACAACAATTTGTGGAGTCACAGTAAAGGTGAGTTATCATGGAGTATTCAAATATCCTCTGTTTGATATCACTTGTATTTCATAGTTTCCACATCCATAAGTCTTCGTTTCTTAGTAGCACTAGGTCTAGATCATGGTTCTTTTAAGTGTAAATTCCATAAAAGGTCTCTAGTTATAGGTTGTTTTACATATTTAGTCATTACATATCAAATATTACTAATTTACTCTCAATTATTATATTCATTTTCACGAATGGTCCTTTGTTAACATTTCCGCGAAGAACTTGGATAAAATTGTTAATTCACAATCCTTTCTCTCATCAATTAAGCTTCCTCCCTCCCCTCTCACTCCTTTTCCAAACTCGTCGCTGAGTTTGAAACTTTGAACCCAAAATTTTAAATTTTAAATTTTAAATTTTAAATTTTAAATTTTAAATTTTAAATTTTAAATTTTAAATTTTAAATTTTAAATTTTAAATTTCATAAAAGGTATCCCGTTATAGGTTGTATTACATATTTAGTCCCTACATATGAAATATTAATAATTTAGTCCCCAAATATTATATGTTTTCCACAAATAGTCCTTTGTTAAGATTTTCGTTAAGAACATGGATAAAGTTGTTTATTCACACTCTTCTCTCTTCAATTACACTTTCTCCCTCTTCTCGTACTCATTCCAAAACCTGTCGTTGAGTTTGAAACACTAAACCCAAAACCGAAGCGATCACTTCTCTCTCAGTTGTTCATTTTCCTGATGGGACTCAAAAACGAAACCAATAATCTTCATGGATGCTTTTTATGGGTTAGTCTGAGGAAATTGCAAAGAAAACAAACCTTAAAACTTATTTATGAAGATTACTGGTTTCGATTTTGGATTCCACCAGGAAGACAAACAATTGAGAGGGGATGAATGATTTCAGTTCTGGGTTCAAAGTTTCAAACACAAAAACGAGTTTGGAAAATTAGTGCGAGAGGAGAAAAGAATCTTAATTGAGGAAAGAGAAGATCATGAGTTTTATCCACGTTTTTAACGGAAATGTTAACAAAGGACCATTCGTGGAAAACAATATAATAATTGGAGACTAAATTATGTATATTTCATATGTAAGGACTATAAATATGTAAAACGAAATATAACTAAGGACCTTTTATGGAATTTACTCTTTTAAATTTTATATTTTAAATTTTAAATTCTAAATTTTAAATTGAAAATATTAAATTTTAAATTTTACATTTTAAATTTGAAATTATAAAATTTTAACTTTTCCACTTTAAATTGTAAACTTTAAATTCTAAATTTTAAACTTCAAGTTTAAAATTAAACCTCAAAATTTAAAAATTTAAATTAAAATTTAAAATTGAAAAGTAAAAACTATGTCAGATCGAGAGTTTTAAAGACAAATCGCATACAAAATTGTTTGTATCGACAAAATTAGTAATGTTGAGGTAATCAGTTGGAAATAAAAAAAAATAAGTCGATATAGGTGGACGGGGCAGGGAGGAGGGTGTGGGGAGCGAAAGAGAATTAACGTTTTTCTTCGAATCCTAATACAGATTATTTTCCTTCCATTGAAGAATAATATTTTCGATGTAAATTACCCGTATTTTCCTTCCACTAATGTCACTAAACTCAAAAGAGTAAAACCAACATTTTCTTAGAAAATATTTTATCTCCAACCAAACGCACCATCAAAATTATTTTACTCCGTATTTTACATCCCATCGCGCCCTTATACCATATAGGCATATATAGTCACGTAGCCTAACATTGGTTCATGTTGTCCAGCCTCAACTAAGCAGCATCATTCAAATATCCAATACGACAACTTCATATCATTTGATTCGCTAGAAGTGAATACGGAGTAAATTATAGAGCAAGATCTCATCTCGTCACCATCCTAACATCATGACCGCATAGACGTCTATCCGCTTGTGAATTTCGCCAAAGAAAAATCTCTTTCTCAAGAATCAAGATTCTCTTCGGATAAAATCTCTTTATAGTGCAAAATCTCAGAAAACTATAAGACAAATCAGAATCTGAAGGAAGTTCAATATCAATTGATCAATAAAAAATCAAGACATGTCATACTACATGCAAGGAATTTATTAACAACTATAAACTTTTCACACCATTTGTTAGTTTCATACTGTGTTAGCATTATTTTTTGATAAATAAATATATTTGCCTAGAATTTTTTTTAGATGTTTTATTTAGACTTATAGTCCTAGCGTGTGCAGAAAGAGAAAGAGGAAAGAGCTTGAAGAGAGAATTCCAATCTTACTTGGTTTATTATTTTTGATGAGGAAGCCATGGTTGAGACTCCTTACAACACTCTAACAGGGTTATTCTATTCCATATATTATCTTCACCTTCCCTTACGGTTTTGGGGGTGAAAATACGAAAGAACATAAGAAGATCCGATCAAAAGTCCTGTTTTGACTTTTGGAAATGTTCATCTAAGCACTTTGACTCATCAAATTCTCTCAATATGTAAGCCTAAATATACTCATGTGTGATCATGTTTGATTTGTCTTAACATATAGATTATTAATATATACTCCCTCCGTCCGGTTTATATGTTCCCAGTTTGACTTTTGGTAATTTTTAGTGAGTGTTGACCAAGCCTATAAAATGACTAGAATGCCCTTACTAAAAAAAAGAAGGAAAGAAAGCCACATGCAATATAAAGTGAACAATACGGAGTACTTTTACTTTTTCCAATCCAAAACAGTAGGCAAGTATGGGCTGATTACATCATATCATCATTACATTACCACATCATCCAAAAAACACTCCAATTCCCTCCTATTTTTAGAAAACCACCCGCCCAAACATTCCCAAAATTTTAAAAACTACCTTTCCCCTTGCAGTCCTATAAAAGGTCCCTCTCATTTCCTTATTTAGCAGGTTTTTTTCTTGAATATGTGTTCTTCATTTTCTTGCTCCTGTCTCTTCGGGATGCTCTTCACTATCTTCGGGATGTTGTCCTTGCACGTTTCCTGAGGCTGCTGTCCTTGAACTATCTTCGGGCTGCGCTCCATTCTCTTTGGGCTCCTCTTCATTTTCTTCGGGATGTTGTCCTTGAACGTTTCCTCGGGCTGCTGTCCTTGAACTATCTTCGGGCTGCGCTCCATTCTCTTCGGGCTGAGCTCCATTCTCTTCGGGCTGCTCTTCATTTTCTTCGGGATGCTATCCTTGCACGTTTCCTCGGGCTGCTGTCCTTGAACTATCTTCGGGCTGCGCTCCATTCTCTTCGGGCTGCGCTCCATTCTCTTCGGGCTGCTCTTCATTTTCTTCGTGCTGCTCTTCATTTTCTTCGGGCTGCTGTCCTTGCATCTGTACTCTTCATTTTCTTCTGTTTTGTTGGAAATCGCACTTCTTGGAGGCCTGCAAACACACATGAATACGAAGAGGTTGGAGAACACAACAAGGCAGGTAATCAGTGACACATTACTAGCACATTCAAAGCAAAATCCTAATGGTTCATACTCAGCTCAGTATGGGCATATCAACAAACTTGCTGCACAGTTTAATGTATCTAGAAAAACAGTGAGCAAGATATGGGCAATTGCAAAGAAACAAATAGAGCAGGGGGTTGCCATTGACGTGAGGAGTCAAATGATAGGAAAGAAGGGCAGGAAAAGGACAGTGATGGATGCACAGGCTATTGCAGACACTCCACTCAGGAAGAAGACTAATGTCAGATCCTTAGCTGGTGCAATTGGCAAGCCTAAGTCAACAGTGCATGAATGGATAAAAAAAGGTATGCTGAGGAGCCATTCTAATGCAATCAAACCCTTCTTAACTGATGCCAATAAAATTTCAAGGTTGAGGTTCTGTTTAGATCAAGTAGACCCTTACAGTATGCCCATCCACCCTCAGTTTAAATCTTTTCACAGTGTTTTACACATTGATGAAAAGTGGTTTTACATGTCTAAAACTTCCCAAAAATTTTACCCGCTTCCAGATGAAATTGACCCACACAGAACATGTAAATCCAAAAAGTTCATAACTAAAGTCATGTTTTTGTGTGTGGTTGGGAGACCACTATTTGCTGAGAGTGGAGAAGTATTGTGGGATGGAAAAATTGGCATTTTCCATTTTACAGAAACAGTTCAAGCTCAGAGGAAGAGTAAAAACAGAGCAAAAGGAGTGTTGGAGGTGAAGCCAATCACTAGTGTTACCAAGCAAGTGACAAAGGATATGCTGATCAAACAAGTCATTCCATGTATCCAAGAAAAATGGCCAGCACAATTATCTAAAGACATACACATTCAGCAAGATAATGCAAGGCCACACATTCAAGGACTAGACTCTGACTTTATGGCAGCAGGTAACACAAATGGATTTCACATAACTCTAAATAATCAACCCCCCAACTCCCCAGATTTAAATGTCCTGGACCTTGGGTTTTTTAGAGCCATCCAGTCTTTAAAAGAACAGTGTGCTCCAACCAGTGTTCCAGAGTTATTAGAGGCAGTTCAAAGAGCATATAATGCCCTCAATCCAGAAACCTTGAATAAGGTTTGGTTGACATACCAGCAGGTGTTGACTAAGGTAATGGAACATGAAGGAAATAACAACTACAGATTACCACATATGGGGAAAGATAGACTTGCCAGAGAAGGAAATCTTCCTAAATCTTTGAGCATAGACCTGGACCTTATTCAGAAGACAGCAAGATTGGCTGGACAACAGAACGGAGGTAGAAATGAAGGAATGGTTGAGTTCAACACTGAAGAGGGATATGACTACCTATCTTCAGAGTTGAACTAAACACACACTTCTTTTTGGGTTTCAGTGTATGTAATTGGTTGCCACTATGGGTTTTTGGAGAGTGGTTACCACATAATGTTTTGTGGCTTTATGTGTTTGTAAATGGTAGCCACAGAAAACTTTTTGGGTTTTGGGTTTTTGGGTTTTGGGTTTTGGGTCTCACATCAAGGCAACTACACACAATCTACTCTATATGTAACATATGCATAATGAAATACAACTGCCATCATATGCTTATCACTTTTCTATAACTGCCACTTCATCATTGCTGATCTAGTTTTATTATTCTCATACATTCATCACAGTAAATGGTCACATAAGGTCTTACAAACATCATATAGACAGATAGGACACCAGAGGGACAGATAACATAGTGTACAGATAGGGACACCCAGAGGCAGAGTAAGACCACATAGAAGGTGTAAAACCCTCAGAACTCAGAGACATCCTTAAATGGATACATTCTCATCACAGTAGGCATCATTGTTCTCAGACATTCATCATAGAAAGTGGTCACAAGAGGGACAGATAACATAGTGTACAGATAGGGACACCAAGAGGCAGAGTAAGACCACATAGAAGGTGTAAAACCCTCACAACTCAGAGACATCCTTAAATGGATACATTCTCATCACAGTAGGCTTCATTGTTCTCAGAAATTCATCACAGAAAGTGGTCACAAATAGTCTTGCAAGTATTAGAGGGACAGATAACATAGTGTACACTTTGGACAATCAAAGGCAGAGTAATTAAGGACCCTTTTAATGGATACATGCTCAAGACAGTAGGCATATTATTCTCAGACATTCATCACATAGTGTTAATTAAGGACCCTTTTAATGGAAAGCCACATGCAGAATAAAGAAATGAACAATATGGATTCCTGTTACTGTTTCCAAAACAAGGGAAGAGCAGGGACAGTAATTGAATCATCCAAACTCACATAATCTATAATTATTCCAGTAATGTAGAAATAATTGAAGTATAGGAAGGTTAAACGAACTTCCCTACTTGTACGTTGAAGCCCAAAAATCTGGATCTGGGCTTGGAAGTAAGATGTTTAGCATATCAATGTGGAGGTGCATGCGTGAGTACATAGGTTGAGAAGAATCAAACCCAGGTCTCTCAAACTCCTCCATCTCGTCACCCTCTTGCCTCCCATCAACAAAATTACAATCTTCTTGAGATTGAATGTTGATAAAACACTGCATTTCTCTGATCGGGGCAGGATCGACACCATCATCTTCACTATCGATGACGATGACCTCGTCATCGCTATGGATTGCGATAACCTCCTCCACCTCGCTATCATCAGAGATTATATCTTCGACCTCACCCCAACCATCTTGAAATTCCGTCTCCAGAATGATAGAATCCAAGAAATAGTCGTGCGGATCCATTAGATATGGGCAGAGATCTAGGGTTCTAGGAGAAAAGGGAGAAAGAATTGGGCGGAATGGTTTGGGAAGGAGAGGAGGTGCGACTGTGGGAGTTAAAGCAGGGCGATTTAATGAGATTGGGTGAGATTGGGTGAGAAGGGCGTTTTAATGAGAGGGGTAGTTTAGGAAAAGTGGGTTAGAAAACGTATACTAGGAACTTAATTTCCGGACGGAGAAAAGAGTAGAATGGGAACTTAAAATCCGGACGGAGGGAGTAATTTCTATAATTCTTTTAATATACAAATTACAAGATAAAATGGATTAAAGAAGTGTATTGGATGGTGTGTAAAAATGAAAGTGGACAAATACTCTGGTACGGAGGTAGTACTAAAAACAATACCTTTTCTTTGACTTTATGAATATTAAACTTGCAAACACAAAGAACATGTAGCATCAGGGGCGGACCCACTTTGGTGCAAGTGGCGTCACCTGCAGTCACTCCAAAAAAAATTTACGGAGTACTCCTTCCGTCCCTGAGTGTTTGTCCACTTTCATTTTTGCACACCATCCCATGCACTTCTTTAATCCATTTTATCTTGTAATTTGTATATTAAAAAATTATAAAAATTATATATTAATAATCTATATGTTAAGACGAATCAAACAAGATCACACATGACTATTTTTAGGCTTACACATTGAGAGAATTTGATGAGTCAAAGTGATTAGATGAACAGTTCCAAAAGTCAAAAGTGGATAAACACTCAAGGACGGACCAAATATTATTCAAAACCATAAGCCCTACCCTATCAAGTTACATAGACGGGAGAGTTGCTGTCCTCTCATTCTCAAACATTCAAACCCTCGAAATCTCAAATTGGATCTTAATCCTTACAAATTTCCGTCCGGATTGCTGCTCTTTATCAATTTTCTTTGCGGCCGCATGCAGGAAGGCACCGGAGGAGTGGAGGAGGGTGGCTGGCTTGCGGCGGCGTGGCGGGTTGGCGGAGGGAGGCACTGAACTAATGGCTATTTTTTTTAATGGAGAGTTTAGTTTTTAAAAAAAAAAAATAAAAAAAGCTTTATGTCTTCTTATATTTCACCGTGAATTTGACTATTTGAGGCATGAGCCACTGCATTTAGTTGGTTTTGTGTATGCTTTGTATTTATTATTTTTCCACTTTAATCTCCCTTTAGATTTGAACTTGAGACTTGAGAGTATTTTATTGCATTGTGCAAACTGCTAAGCCACTAATGAGTCCCGATTTTTATTTGAAAAAACTTTTCATATTGATTTTGCACCTCTATAATTTTTTCCTTTTTTTGTAATATTTTCAACAAAACATAGAAATATGATATTGTAATGTTTGTTTTTGTTATGTAGTATGAGTTCGGTGCATTGTATGATTTAATATTAATTACATTTAGTCTTTGTTTATTCTTTATTTTTTATAATTTTTATGAACCCACTACACATATTTTCTGGGTCCGCCCCTGGCTAGTATTATGAATTTGTGAAACATAATGCGTATCTTTTTATTTGTCACAAATCACAGATTCACAAGAATTTTCTTTCGGCGAAGTAATAGTTGAGTTTGACCGGTCTTCTTTGACCCATATTCTCGGAATAAACTTATGACTTATGAGTTGTTTCTGTGAATAAATTAAAATACTCAATCCGTCTCGGTGTGTTAGTCCAATTTTGATTTTTGAAACTGTTCATCTAAGGACTTTAACTCATCAAATTCTCTCAATGTGTAAGCCTAAATATAGTCATGTGTGATCTTGTTTGATTTATTTACATATAGTTTATTAATATATAATCTTTATAATTTTTTAATATACAAATTACAAGATAAAATAGATTAAAAAAATGTATTGGATGGTGTGTAAAAATGAAAGTGGACAAATGCTTTGGGATGGAGGTAGTAGTACTCAAAAATTCTCCCTCTATTCTAAAACGTTTTTTCCGTTTCTGTTTACGAGATTTGACTGACTTTATTTTCAATTCACTTTATTCAATTGCAGGTGTTAAATTAAAAAATACTCTGTATAATTTATATACTCCCTCCGTCCCAGAAAACCTTTCTCTTTTCTTTTTTCATCCGTGCCAAAAAACACTTCTCATTTCTATTAAAAAGTCACTTTTACCCTTTACTTTTTCATACTCTACCTATCACATCATACCTTTCTACTAATAATCTATCCATCAAATCATACTTTTACCCATCACACCAAAGGACATTTTTGGAAATCCAATACCAAAATACATTCCCCTTAAATCCCTCTTCAAAATCAAAACTTCCATGTTTTACGGGACGGAGGGAGTATTTAAAAACTACATCAAAAGTTTTACAAAATAAGAGGCAACAAGACTATAATATTTAATTAAAGAACTAAAGAAAGTAAGTAAAAAAGTTACTAAAGTTTGACCGTGTGAATAGTAACTGGGAAGAACGTTTTAGGACGGAGGGAGTAATTAATACTCTCTCCTTCGCTTATAGATTTTCTCATTATGCGTTATGAAGTTTGACAGTTATTTTTTTCAGTTTAATTAATTTGATCATAGATATAAAATAAAAAAAGTATACATTTGAAAACTATATAAAAAATTTTGCAAAACAAAAAGTGACAAGACTACATCATTTTATGAAATAAATAGTAAATATAAGCAAACAAAGTGAATTATATTTGACCATATGAATAATGTATAAAAAAATCTATAGGGGACAGAAGTAGTAATAATAATAACTCCCGATTATTTTGACAATAATTATTAATGTCATAATATGACAACAAAACTTATAAAATTTTGTTTAAAAAATTGATGGTTTTTATTCTCAATAAATCTCATTGCCTCCCCCTGCATCCACCAAAGCACTCCTTGACCCCTTCCCAAAATGCTAATTGGAAATAGTTTTACTATTATCGATCGATATTTTGGGAAGAGAGGCAAGGGTGCATGGCTAGGAACCACCAATTTTTTTAATAAAACACTATTGCATTGTTGTCAGATTATGACAACAGAGTTGTTGTCAAAAGAAGGGAGGATGATGAGTGTATTCCACTCGGGCTATGGCCGGGTTTTTTGTTAACTAGAATCCACTCGGGTAGATACCAACCCTGCACAGCAGTGTTAGGTAACAATTAGTAACATATCGCGAGACTCGATCAAGGTAACTTGAAACCTATCCAGATAAAATACGCATACTGAGCAAGAAGCACATCATGGTGTAAAGGATCTTCGATGAACTCAACGCTCTACTATGGGAGATCACTCAGAAATCCAAGACTTAGAGATTTACTAGTATAGATGATCGATGATAAGCCAAGCCAGATTGGAGGTAGGGGTGTAAACGGATATTAATCGGATCGGATGTGCCATTACCAAATCCGTATCCGTTTATTTTTGTCGGATATCAAATTCGGATACGGATCTTGACGGATATTGAAAATCAAAACCATATCCGCATCCGTCGGATATCGGTCAGATAACGGATATATCCGTATTCGTTTCCAATTTTTAAAATCAAATTAAACAATACTTTAATTTTAAATTAGATTAAAGTCAAACTATTATTAAATCAACTATAATTTGTTATGGGATAATTATTTTCTTTGTTTTCATGATTTATTATATTCTACGATAACTTGATATGATAAAAAGATATACACAGCACACATATACACATGTTTTTATATGTCTGTACTTTTTTTATGTGTCTATACATTTATTTTGTATATAAAATGTCTTATATTTTTAAATATCAATAGAGAAACAAAATATAAACATAAAAAAATTAGGAAAAACTATATATAACGGATCGGATATTCGGATAAATAGTTATTTAAACGGATGCATATTCGGATCGGATTTTAAACGGATCGGATATACAATTACCAAATCCGTATCCGTTTAGTAACCGGATATCCTTAATCGGATACGATAATATCCGTTTAAAACGGATGCGGATATTTCCTCTTTAAACGGATACGGATGCGGATGGTAATCGGATTTTCGATTATCCGTTGATAGCCCTAATTGGATGTAACCTAGTGGAACCAAATTTCATGTACCAATATATTAAATCTAAGACATTCCCCCCTAGCAGTACGCACCAAAAGGGGACAAGCAGGGAAGGTACGTTCTAGAGAATAAAAGTACATATGCTACAAGACAAGGAGTCATCACTTTAAAAATACTCCCTCCGTCCCAAAAAGTTTGTTACGTTTAGAAAAAACTGCGTCCCGTAAAGTCCGTTACATTTCTATTAAAAAACCACTTTTACCCCTTACTTTTTCATACCCTACCTATCACATCATACCTTTTTCCTAATAATTTACCCATCGCATCCTACTTTTACACATAATATCAAGGGTATTTTTGGAAAGTCAATACCAAAATATCTCTCCCTTAATTTTCCAAAAAGTCAAACTGTCTCATTCTTTTTGGGACGGAGGGAGTATTACATAGGCCTAGCACGTGGCTAGGCACGGGCGCACATGGCCTTGTCTCCCAATTTTCAACTATATATATGCTTGTAAATTCTCATTGAAGGTGATTCGAATTCCATATCTCTCTACGTGCAAGCTTATGCTTATAATTGCTCATTATCTAATAACAATTAGGCCATGAGTATTCCTATTCATAGTCTTTTCGGTCATCTTGTGCTCAGTGTCTTAGTTTATCGAGTCAACTCATTACCCTAGACTTGGTCTAGAGCTTTGTTGCCCGGTCAACTAGTTTATAATAACAACTATATTTACAATAACAACAACAACAATAGTAATAATGTTATTATTATTACTATTATCCTTATTATTATTATTATTATCATCATCATCATCATCATCATCATCATCATCATCATCATCATCATCATCATCATATCCTCTTGGTTGGTGGTGGTTCTCAGATCTGGTTATGTCCTTTGATGGTGGTGTTTTTCTATCCTCCTTATGTATGTTGGCGTTTTTGTTTTGTTGTTTGGCAGCTAGCTTAGATGCCATGCGTGGTGGCTTCGTGAAGTGCAGATGTAATTATTGTTCTGTTGTCAATACTATTTCAAAGTTGGTGATATCTACATTCGGAATAGTATGTTCTTTATGCATTAACAATAAGTATAGCTATAAACTCTTTATAGACATCACACACTATGATAAATTTACATCCTTAGGATATCTTCTTTATAGAATAAGATATTATATGGATTTTCCCTTTAAGAACCGTTTTATTCATTTAAACTAAGTGCCTTTCAAGTCAACATAATTTACACTCCATTCATCCGAAATTAATCATGCTTACTTTTTTTTGGGTATTTCAAAAGTAATTCTTCTCTTTCTTTTTTGGAAAACTTTTTGAGACTCTTTTTTCTCTTTCCCCTCAACATCACTTTCAACTTCATAATTTTATTTTTCTTAAATTCCATACAAAATCAAATTGTATAGATTAATTTGGGACGGAGAGAGTATGTCATGTTTTCTATATTTCCTTTTAGAAGTCTCTTGATGACTTTTGACCTTCAAATAACCAACTTATTTTACTTCTTATTCAAAACAAAATCTATCCCAAATTCCCTAACCAATTTGGACGGATCCAAATGCCTAAATACGTAGTATACATTAGAGTTTAGCCCGCACAAATTGACCTGAAATTTGAAGCACCCTATACTTTGAAGGACCCATATGTCAACTAATCAAAAGTCAAGTTCCCACACGCCCAGTCGCCCACACTTAAAAATATCTTGAAAATTAAGAAACACCAATCCAGATACTTCCTGGTGGCAAACATTTTTGTAGCTAATAAGCTGGTGGAATATAATGTTCTGTAAAATATAAAAAACAAAATAAAAAACAAAAAACAACTAACTAAAATATAGAAATACTTCTCAATACAACAATTTTTACATGTCCAAGAAGAACAAAAAGAAAGTGGGAAAATAAAAAAACAACAAAGTGGAAGAACATGGGAGAACTGGAGATGAGCTTACATGAATATATAAATGTGTCTTCTTCAATCTTCAGCCTTGTTCTGAATATTCAAAGTTCATCCAATCATTCAAACAACAAACCTGGGCAGATGGAATATATGCCTTGTTATTTATCATTCTCTCTTGCACACTCTCCCACAAAGAATCAAAGAATTTATTCTTTTCTTTTTATCTAGCTAGCTAGGTTCTGAATCTGATTAATGATAATCAAGATTTAAAAAGATACTCCGGAGTATTACACACCAATGACTGATCCTCCCTAGCTAGTGAGGTGCCTTCTTCAAGTACTGTGACACTTGGATCCCCTCAAAGAAATCAAGAATGGCATTCTCCAGATCCTCGACTGAGTACTTAATGTAATTCTCTGGGTGTCGTCCGCTCTCAATGTGACTCCTATACCGCCCAAGAAATGATCTGTAAGCAGGGATCAATCGTTCCGACATGGATATCCTTAGCTCTTCCCGAAGCTGAGCGTCTGGTATAAACCATGTTGACTGTGTTCTGTGAACCTCTTCGAACATGGCATTGAAGCTCTTAAACCTCTCTCGCAGCGCGCTCTTTGATACCCCTGATGAGAAGCTACCCGCATTCAACCCTTCATCTCTCAAGCAATACAAAACCCTCACCCATGTTGACCTCTGGTAATTCATGGCAGCTTGCCTGTACCCTCCTGTTAGCTTCTTCAAGTAGTTGTCCCCAATCAATACTCTTAGCTCGGGCGAGCCTTTGATCTTCTTAACAATGTAATGAACATTGTTCATCATGAAGAGGTATGGCAATGAAGTGTCTTTATAGTGCTTGGATTTTGATTCTAGGTTGAATTGTAAAACAATGATTATCCAAACGAAATGAAGCGCCAAAGGGGTGCTCCCATCTGCCTCGTCCAAATCCATGTCGGGCGCGTTAGGGTCTCTTGAGTACGGATTTGAAACGACCAATTCATCCAATGTGTGCTTGTAATCAGAGATCAGATTGATGTAATTCATCACATACCTTGTCAATGGATGAATAGTCCCTCCAGGGACTGGAACTCTTGAAGGTTCACGGAGCACGGCATTTTCGAATTCAGAAAGTATCCCTCTGATTGCCTCCCCTAACCTAGACAATATCTCATCAGCTTGAACCCTAATGGACTTGGAGGATTTTGAATCAAAAACTACTTCAATATCAGGGAGTAAATCGGACAGAGCCTCATGAAGATCCAAAATCTTAAACAATTTCTCAGGGGATCGCTTGCTTATGCTAATAGCTTCGGCGAAATTAAAAAGCTGAATAGCAGGACCTTTAATCGTCTCCGTGAAGAAAGCATCGTCGGTGGAAGTGCCTAATCCGCAGAATAATTGCTCGCAGAGCCTCTTCTCGCTGGCAAAGAGTATGCGGACGCACAATTTGGCCACCCTTATCCAGCGACGGATCTTCACTTCAACAGTCTCCCATTCCATCCTCTGGATTTCTCCGATGCTCAACTTCTCCACACCGAGCTTCCTGAAGCTCGCTTCCACCGCCGACTTCCGGACGCTGCCGTACACCTGGACGCACTCGCGGAGATATCCGGCGGAAATCATCCGCTCGGCGATGCTCCTGAGGTCGAGGATTGCGTCCGGCGGCATGAGGTCGATTTCTATGATGCTACTCATAGATCTGTAACTGCAGCTGCTCCTCCGGCTCTCCGGAAGCTCTAATTCGTCGGCCAACGGACTCTCATCTCCGAAGTCGAAGCTCGTGAACTCTCGTTCCCCCGAGCTCATCCCGATGCTGGCACTCCTCGAGCTGTAACCGATGCTGGAAGAGGAACAGCTCGATTCGAGCAGCGAATCTGGTTCGATAGGGCTGGAGTGAGCAATTAGGATGCTCCGGAACTCGTCCTCGAGCCGAGCCATGGCAATCTGGATCGCGAAGTTAGCCTTGCTCCGGTCATCGGAGAGCGTGGCCGACTCCATTGACCGCTGGATTTCATCTACGGCACGCAAGTACAGGTCGGCCTCTTTCCGGTCACCGCCGAAGATCATCTTCTCTCTGGCGGCTTCAGACGCAGTGGAGTCCCACCGGAGGATTATCTGATTCGCGGAATCGTAAGATGCGGCGCCGTTCCCGGGTGGCTCCATCGCTGAAACCTCTGAAACTGGAATCCCTTTTCTCAGGAAACTAATCAAAGAAAGAGATTTTTGTTTTATTTCTTGGAAAGGGAATGACAGATAAAGGATTGGAAGATATAATACGCTCCCTAATACGGAGTATAATACTGCAAGATAATGTGGAGTAGTAATAACTTCGCAGAAGGTAGAAGGATGACGACGAACACATTTAAAAGGGGCAACGCTAGGGGCACATTTGCTCCACTCTTTTTTACATAGACGTGATGAATGTGTCTTGAGGTGAAACAAATTTAGACTCGCCTTAAGAGAGGTGATTCAATGTATACTTAGTAAATACCCAATGCCACTGGACATTGTTCAAACTAAATGTCCACCATCACTAGACATTGCTCCTACCACCAGACATTATTCAAGTACTATTTAGAGAATAAAAAATATTAAGTACTCCGTACTACATTACGAAAAGATATACTATGTTTTAGTACTATTTAGTGCAAATTTTACTATTTATTTGTATAATATTCCCTCCGTCTTAAAACTTTCTTCTCACTTCCTCTTTTTCTCCGTCTTTAAACTATCTTCCCATTAGAAAAAAAGATGACAAATGACATTAATACCCTCATGTATTTACACCTATTATCTTCTAACTCTATATTTTGAATGATTGCAAAAAAAATTCAAAAAAATCTTTTTTAAGGAGGTAAAATTTGAAGTCAAAGCCAAAAATTAAAAATGAGGAAAACTCAAACTGGGAAGAAAGAATTGGGACGGAGTGAGTATTAGAGTCACCAAAAGAAATACTCACAAAATACACAAACTTACCAAATATATGAAATAATGATCTTAAAAAGTTGTGTCAAATATTTTTAAAAAATAAATACTTACCAACATAAAATCATAAATTTCTACATTTTGTAGGTATTCTGTTTGTGGTTCTAAATTCATTTATCAAAATAATACTCCTGTCCTAAAACGTTCTTCCTGTTTCTGAATATGAGATTTGACCGACTTTATTTTCAATTGAATTTATTTGATTGTAGGTGTAAAATTAGAAAATAAAATTTATATATTTAAAAACGACGTCAAAAGTTCTACAAAATAAGAAGTGACAAGACTATATTATTTTATCTAATAACTAGCAAAAATAGGTAAAGAAAGTGATTAAAGTTTGACCATGTAAATAGTAACGAAAAAGAATGCTTTAGGACGGAGGGTGTAACAATAATAATAGTAAATTATTAAAATAGAAAGCACAATACAAGATACTTTGGCTATGTTTAGATACAACAACAAGAACAAGAACAATAACAACAACTATAACAACAACAATAACAAAGCATTATCACTACAAGAACTCCATTGATTCGCAAATGTTGAAGACCCTGATGAACGAGAGATTAGACGAAGGTGTTCTTCCATCGTGGATCTACGTCACAACTTAAAACAAAGGACGGGTTTTGGCTTTTGTCGTAAATTTGCGACAAAAATGAGCATCAGGTGCTACGACGGAACGTGCGAAAAAATCTACGACGAAATACAAATACCACGAAACTCCGTTAGAGCTAGCTTGCACAACCTAAACGGATTTCCATCACAAATTTGACATATTTTGTAACACCCTAATCCGTCCAGATTGACAGCCCCTTTTGGACTAAAGTATAAACTCGGTATTCGTAAACATTCAAAACATTCCAAACATTTTCTTCAAACTTTATTTCATAATAAATTATTCAAAATAGTAACAGAGTATTTAAAGTTGTAGAAGCTTAATAAATCACAATTAAAAACATAATAATTTTATGTCTTTTAGAAACAATTATTCAAATTCACACATCCATCCCGACCATCTCGCCCCATGTGCCGCTAAGAATAGTCACTTTATTCTTTATGTTTTCCTGCGTGTAGCAAATAAAAATACTACACACTCAACGGTGAAGAAGAGTAAGGATATCTAATGCATCGAACATCCTTATAAATTGAATCTCAATCCATAATCAAATCATTTGATATCATGCATATAATATTCAGTTCAGGGATTCAATATTCAATATTCAACAATGCTCTCAAACTATTCTTAGTCTAAGACCAATTTCTTTATATTTACCAACATTTAGACTAATTCTAGTTCAAGATATTTCTAACCAACTCTTAAGTTACTACCTCCGTCTTAGAGTATTTGTCCACTTTCATTTTTACACACCATCCAATACACTTCTTTAATCGATTTTATCTTTTAATTTGTATATTAAAAAATTATAGAAATTATATACTCCGTATCAATAATCTATATGTTAAGACAAATCAAACAAAATCACACGTGAGTATATTTAGGCTTACACATTGAGATAATTTGATGAGTCAAAGTACTTAGATGAACAGTTCCAAAAGTCAAAACTAGACGAATACTCCGGGACGAAGGGAGTATATTCTAGTTTAAGGTACCAATAACCAAGTCTTAAGCTAATCTAGTTTAAGGTGCAAGTTTTCAAAAAGGTTTTCAGACTCTTAAACTAGTCTTAGCTTAAGGTATACAAGAAACCAAACAGCAAAATGCTCACCGTCGAGTTGGGTGGTATTTCTAAACGAGTGATCCTCTAGTTTGGTTTGCGAATCCCGTACGTACGTTTTTAAGTAATACAGGGAAAACTGAGATGTCTTATAAAAAGTTATATTAATAAAACATTCAATGTAACTATTTTATCCATAATTTTTAGTATAATTTAACATATTGATGTTTTCCTGTTTTATCATGTAGACTAATATACAAAAAAATGTCTTATTCATATTAAAAAGTTGAAGAAAAAATAATAAGTGTGAATCGTAAAAATAGTGAGATGAAAAATACAAACTACAGTTATGAATATAACAGTTGTAATAATAATAATAATAATAATAATAATAATAATAATAATAATCACATTGAAATATATCATTTTTAGAGTAATTGGTTGAGGAGTAGAAAGAATTTGAAGAAAATGAAAAAAGTTGGAAGAAACTAGAAGAAACTGGAAGGAACTCGAAGAACTGGAAGAAACTGGAAAAAACTGGAAGAAACTAGAATGAACTGGAAGAAACTGAAAGTTAAGAGTTCAAGCCCTAAAGAACATGCTCCAAGTGGTCGATGCCTTTTTTATCTAATAAAGATGTGTAAAATCTTTGCAATGTTGTTGATAATACGAGAAATTCTGGTGCTTGATCAAAAGAATAAGTTTGACAAATTACATTGTTTCTTGATGTTTTACTGTATTCACTAGTATTTCATATTATTATGTTTGATACTATGCAATCTCATATTTATGCCTATGTAATAACACTTTTGACATTGTATGATGATGCTATGCACTATGATGAAAACTGATTAGTATGAATTTTTTAGTGGATCGGGGAAGATTTTATTTTAAAATTAATTTTGGTTCTATTTTAAGGGATTAAAACATGTGAGTTTTATTTCGATTCTTTTCTTATGTTTTATTCTTATTTTAATTTTTTTACCTTCGAACAATGTGTCAAATCTCATTTTTTAAAAATGATTTTAGTTATAAGTTGGTATATAGAAAAATAAAGTACAATTTACAGATACAAAAATTATATAAAAAATTTCACAAAGCAAGATGCACAAATAATATTTTTTTAATTAAATGACCACTAAAAACACGCGAATAAACAAAAATTATTGTAAGACTCAAATAGTAACAGTGTAGATAATTTGCATGTATATGAATACAGACGATTTTTGTCTTTACAATTGCCTTCCGTGAGAATCACGTGCGATGATTTTCTACATTTTTGTAAATCATTTTTGAAGAGGTAAAAAGAATAAAAAGATTTACTCCCTCCATCTCTGAGTATTTGTCTATTTTTGACTTTTTCAGTCAAAATTGATAAATTTTGGTCTTAAATTAGATAAAAATGATATTGGATGATACAAAAATGGTTTTATTAGATTTACTATAAGAAATATTTTCAAAATGTTATTTTATTTAATTAAATGTAATATTAATTTAATTTAAATATAAATCAAATATTAAAATTAATTAAAAAAAGTTAAAACTGGATAAATATTGGAGGGGTATTAGTTAAGTTGACCTTTTCAGCAAGCAGCAGTGGCTCCAAAGTTTACCTTTTCAGCTAGAAAAAGAATCATTTCTGGGAAGAATCTAATGCTGTTTTTTACCCCAGTACCATATCACAAATTCACAATCAACCAAAGAATGCAGCAGCAGGAGGAGGAGGAGGAGTAGATCAATTCTAATTCCATGGCAGAAGCAGTTCTTAGTATCGTGGCAGAGGGAGTTCTGGGCAAGCTGTTTTCCCTCGCGGCAGAAGAGCTATGCTCCGTTTGGGGTTTCAAGAAAGGCCTCAAAAACCTCGCCCAGAAGCTGGAGATGATCCAAGCTTTGATGATCGATGCGGAGAGCAAGCAAACCGGTTCCATGACCGTACAGTTCTGGATCAAGAAGCTCATGGCCGTCTCTTTCGAAGCCGACAACCTCTTAGACGAATTCGCCTACGAAATCTCCAAGCAGAAACAAGGTTCCAGTCCTCTTCTCTCCCTCAACCCCACTTTATTTCGCCTGAAATTAGCTCAAAAGGTCAAGTCTATTGATGATAATCTCGAGAGAATTTATAAGGAATCCATTGATATTGGACTTAGGGTTAGCGAGGGGGCTTTTTTGGGTAGGGAATCGACTGCTCAATTGTTGAGAAAGACTGATCCTTGTGTTGTTGAATCAGATGTTGTGGATAGGGCTAATGATGTGGCGAAAATCGTAGAGATTTTAGTGGGTTCGGATGATGGGGGGAGGGATGATGTAGAGGTGGTTAGTGTAGTGGGAATGCCCGGGTTGGGGAAGACAACTGTGGCACAACTTGTTTACAAGGATCACTCTGTCGTGAGGTGTTTCGATCACAGGATGTGGGTTTGCGTGTCCGAGGATTTCAATGTTGATCGGCTTCTGGTTGAGATGGTTCAGTCTCTCACACTTGCAGAGTTTGCAGTCTCCAACAGGGAGGCGATTGTTAAAAAGCTGCAACAGAGTTTGAATGGGAAGAAGTATTTGTTAGTTCTTGACGACATCTGGAACGAAGACCGGGCTAGGTGGGAGAATTTGAGGAAGTGCTTGGTAGAAATCGGTGGGTGTAGGGGGAGCAGGATAATGATAACCACCCGCAGTGAAGAAGCCGTTGCCGCAACGCACTCAAAGTTTGCTCATAGGTTGGAAGCTTTGAGAGACGAGGAGGGATGGGCACTGTTTAGGCAGATAGCATTCGCAAGGGGAGGGGCAGACGAGACTCCCGAGTTGAAGGCTATTGGTAGGAGAGTGGCTCAAAGATGTGGGAACATGCCCTTAGCAATAAAGACATTGGGAGGCATAATGTACTCTAGGAACAGCGAGAGCGAGTGGGCTTCAATAGAGAACAGCATGACAAGGGCTTCTTCTTCTTCTTCTTCTTCATCCAAGAGCATGGATGCAGTGCTGTCGACACTGAGGTTAAGTTACGACCATTTGCCCTCGTTATCCGTGAGACAATGCTTTGCATATTGTGCAATTTTTCAAAAAGATTGCGTTATGGAAAAAGACAAGTTGGTTCAGCTCTGGATGGCACAAGGGTGGCTCAAGTGCTCTATGGAGGACCACTTATTAGAGATGGAAGAAATGGGGAACATGGTTTTCAATGTGATGTTGAGAAGTTCGTTGTTCCAAGATGCCGAGAGCGACGAATGTGGTAACATCAAAACTTGCAAGATGCACGACCTGGTGCATGATCTTGCACTCCAAATATCAAAAGACTTTTGCTTAACTGTGGATTCTAGGGAGGTGAGTGGTGAGATCAAGGCCATACATTTATCGTCAATTTGCAGAGGTGAAGGCGGGGTTGGCTTAAATGTTTCAAAGGATTCTCTCGCCAATCTAAGAACTCTATATACAACGGGCAGTTTCGATGCAGGCCTTTTGACGAGTGCCAAGCATCTCCGCGTCTTGATTTTGGACGGTTTTGGAATTTCCCAATTGCCGAGTTCAGTTGGGAAATTGAAACATCTAAGGTACCTCGACGTCTCGAAGACTTCCATCAAGAGACTCCCCAACTCCATCACTCAGCTCTACAACCTGCAGACACTGAGAGTGAACAACTTGGAGGATATGCCGCGCGATTTTCACCATCTCCTACATTTGAGGCACTTTTACATGGAAGACACTCGCAACAACAGGAGGCCCGGCTTACTTGTTGGGATAGGGAAGCTGGTTTCTCTCCGGACGTTACCTTTCTTTGTGGTGGGTCCCAACAGTGAGTGCCAGATTAGTGAACTGGGACACTTGTCGAACCTAAAAGGCCGCTTAAATGTGTACAGCCTAGAGAATGTGAAGCATTACAATGCAGCCAGAGAAGCAAAGTTGTGGCAGAAAGAGAACATTCATACCCTGCAGCTGCGCTGGCATCCGTTGGGTCGACGCGGAAGGAAAGAGTCTACTGATGAGGAAGTTCTACAAGGCCTTCAACCGCACTTCAACCTCAGAAACTTAACAATAGAAGGCTTCCTGGGCTTGAGGTTTCCGCCGTGGCTCCTGGAAAACAGATTACAGAGCTTAATGAAGATCACGCTCCTGAGTTGCAACGGGTGCACCCAAATTCCAACACTTGGACACCTACCCAACCTAAGGGTTGCATCAATAACTGAGATGCACAATGTGAAACACATAGGTCCAGAGTTTTACTACCAAACAAGTTCCAATCACCAAAGCAGCAATTCTAGTGCTGTTACATTATTTCCAGCTTTACGGGAGCTGACCTTGGGTGGAATGCCAATGCTAATCCAGTGGTCAGAACCAAAACAGCAATCGCAAACAGCGTTTCCTCGCCTTGAGACAATGAAAATCAAAGGGTGCCCGAAGCTATTGAATCTGCCAGAGATGACTGGCCTGACGTCTCTGCGTTACTTATCCATTGTGAGATGTGATAAACTGGCTTCTCTCCCAGAAGGGATGGGGCGTTTGGCTTCTCTCAAAGAACTGGAAATAATGAATGGGTCGAGTCTGGCCATAATACCTGACATTACAGGCCTGAAATCTCTCATCAAGCTTCACGTATCAGCATGCGAGAAGCTGGTCACATTACCAACCGGTTTGGAAAGATGTGATCTGCTTGAGAACGTGTGTGTTCGCCAATGCCTATCTTTGTGCCCTGAGGGAAGAGGCCTGTCTCAGCTCCCTCACCTCAAAGAGCTAAGCATAGGCCATTTCTCCCGCGAACTTGATTTTTTCCCGTGGCCCTCCGGTGCCGCCACACCATTTGCTTCTTTGGCCTCTCTGACAATGTATGGGTGGCCAAGGATCAAACATCTGCCCGAGGAAATCAAAGGACTCGCGGTCCTGAAGCATCTGTCCTTGAGGGAATTCGGGGTGGCGTCCCTTCCTGATTGGCTCTGCACCCTCTCCTCCATTCAGTCAATGTGCTTTACGTTATGCGCGTCCCTTGCGTATCTGCCGTCCGTGGAAGCAATGCGGCGTCTCAAGAATTTACAGAGGTTTGAAATCATTGTTTGCCCTCTTCTTGAAGAGAGGTGCTTTGAGGGGGAACGCCCTGAGTGGCACAAGATATCCCACATTGCTAAGGTCAGGGCAAATTACCAAACCATTCAATGCCTCCTTGACTAGACTCTCTTTTGTCATGGTAGCTACAGCTGTTCAAAATGTTTGCCAAAGGTCCAAAAAAATTTCAAAAAAGGCCAAGGTGGTACCATATGTGATTTAAAAAAAAACAAAAATGCATGGGCACAAGAAAATCTACCACCCCTGGCTATTGAAAGTGCATCCTACAGTTGTACTCTTCTAGGGGCTGCCTACTGACACAAGCATGTCTTTCAGTTATTTTGTGCATGTTCCATGACAACCTGAACTAAGTCTCAAGTCACTGATATGTTCTGTGGTAGCTGCCCTTGTCTCTATAACTTGTCCTTTCCTGTGTGTGGCATCTTAAAACTTGGATTTCTCTGAAAGGCATGTATTTACTTTCAGATTGAAACTATTCGGCAGTTCACACGAATCCTTCAATCGGATATAACCCAGATAGAATTGAAGAACAAGGTATATAGATTGCTGTGATAATTTCAAATCCTCTGTTTTGACCAATCTTGCGAACGAATTCTTATAGAAGCAGGAAGAACAGAACTGGCGTTTGGTGCCTCTCTGGAAAGATCATGTCTATTCACAAGAATTTGTTCAAGAGGATGCAGTTCGGATATTCTTTCGTACACATCCCTTGGACCCCGCAAGGGCTGCCGCCGCCCATGACACTTGCCCTTCCTTCCCAAATCTGGGTCTGCCCAGTGCCCACTACAGCCATAAACATTACTTTGAGAATGAACTTCTTTGATTGTGCTGATCTCTATGTTGGTCCTGTTTCAGATGGTAGAGTATGAAATCTTGCTGTCTCTTTGGATAGTTGAAACCATACTTTTTTTGTCTCAACAATTCTACCAAGCTTTTCATTGTTGTGTTCTTTGCAGGCTACAGTTTCGCACTAATTCTTAAATAAATTGTATTGAAAATAACTTTAGTCAAATATCGTAAGCTGAAACAGTCGATTTAAATTGGGACGTAGAAGTAGAACATAAAATAAAAATTTAGGATAAATATCACATTAAAACCAGATTTGCCTTCAATATTTATACACTATCTATATCTAAAATTACATTGTTTAAAATGCAGTGCTGCTGTTGTATTATCTCCGGCGTAATATACAACTTACAGTAGTATCATGCTCTAAAGGCTACAGTTTCAACTACTCTAATGCTTCGACCTTTTTGCTGTCGCCCGCATGACGTCATGACGTCAACCGATCTCGCCTCCGACTCCTGCCTGTATCTCCTCTATCCTCCTAATCGCTTCTCCCAGATCCAGCCGCAGATCTGGAATGCTCTCCGCGCACGCCTCGCCGATGTGGAGAAGCCGCCGCATCTGATCCGGCGACTCCGCCGCAATCTCCGGATCCAACACGTCGGCCTCCCTTCCCTCGGCAATCGCCGATTTCACCCACTGCACCACGTCGGTCCCGCCGTTGCCGTTGTTCAGGTACTCCGACGGGAATTTCCCGGTGACGACTTCGAGGATGACTACTCCGAGGCAATAGACGTCGGATCTGGGAGACACCTGATTGTACTGCAGGGCCTCCGGCGATCGGAAGGCCATGAGAGATTCGGCGGCGTGGTCGGTGCTTATCAGGGAAGCGTAGCCGTAATCGGAGAGGCATGGCCGGAGATCTTCGGTCAGGAGAATATTGCTGGACTGGAGATCCCCGTGGGGTACTTGGGAAGATGATAGCTCATGATGAAGAAACCCTAATCCTTGCGCAATTCCTGATACGATGTTTAGTCGATTTGGCCAATTCAACTCTGAATGGGTAACACCTCGATCGCCTGAGAATTAGATAAAATCAATTTTAAGTTGCCGCCGAACTTCAAATTAACATTGTTTGGAGGAATTTGAATGGGATGGGAAAACAATTTTTTTGTTTAGTGATATAAGAAAAGAAAAAAATGGTAGAAAATAAAAAAGAGAATACAAAATGTACTTGAATGGATAAAAAAATTCATCCCATTTTGATGATTTTTTTTTTCAAATTTCTTGAACTAAATATAGTGTCAGAGATTGTGTGGCCGTAGCTATTGAGACATAAAGTTTTGTAACATTTGTATTAGATAGTATTTTTAAATAATGTAAATTAAATTTGATAATGTTAAATTTAAATTTTATTACAAGTATTAGCAAGTCAAAATCATAAAGTTAAATGTTTAAGTTGTTGCTAAAAAAAACTAATGGTCACAAAATTTCGTAGAGAGGATTTTTGGAAGTATCATGTCAATTTTTTTCTTGATCATTATAAGACATCTTTGGGAATAACATTAGATATTAGTGTTAATGTTTTAAAAAAAATATCTACGGGCAGCGTTTAACATTTTCAAAGTAAATTATACCGCTAAAATTTTATCGAAAATGCTAATGCTAATCTTTAACGTTATTTCTAAATATTTCATATACTCTGTAAATAACGAGTGCAGAATAATAAATTGAACTAAAAAAATAAATTTAATATGTTCATGTAGCTAGTATAGTTTGAAGATATACGAGAGTATAACATTAGAGATAGTCATTCATAAGGAGCAAAACATGAAATTATTGACTCTATTTGTTTCTAAATAAACTTCAATTTTACTATTTATGTTCAAGCTATTTTTTCATTCTTTATTTATTTACGACAGTATTTTGTTATATGAATAATAAAATAGTCTTATTATTATTTATTTTATATAGAGAGGGATAATGTTTTCTTTTCCATGGGTAAATGTATTGGCTTAAAGCCAATTTGGCTGGGGTGATTGAATTTACTATTTTGAAAAGAATAATCTTACAACAATATTTATCTTGAGCATTTATAAAGTCAATATATACCATTAAATTTTTTTAATTTTATTCAAAATATGAAGGCTAATAAAAAATATTATTTCCATATAAGCCTTACTTCTAACATGTAGAAATAATACTCCCTCCGTCCCAAAAAGAATGGGACGGTTTGACTTTTTGGGAAATTAAGGGAGGGATAATTTGGTATTGACTTTCCAAAAATACCCTTGATGTGATGAGTAAATGGAGGATGTGATATGTAAATTATTAGAAAAAATGTATGATGTGATAGGTAGGGTATGAAAAAGTAAGGGGCAGAAGTGGTATTTTAATAGAAATATAACGAACTTTACGGACGCAGTTTTTTCTAAACGTAACAAACTTTTTGGGACGGAGGGAGTATTAATTAACTCCAGTTTTGGTTTTTTATGCTCAAAATTATTAATAAATTTTGATTTTAACATGTAGAATACTTATCCAGTTTAATACTTTAATACTCCATATTAACTCATGTTAATAATATTAACTTGTAGAATATTTATTCGGTTTTGATCTTTTGTAAAGTCCAAATTAATTAATTTTGACCATAAATTAAATAAAACTTAAAGTAAATATTGAAAAAGTAATTCTATTAGATTTATTATGAAAAATGTTTTTAAAATATTATTTTATCTCATTAATGTATCATGTAGTTTTGATTTCATTATTGGTTAAAGATTAACTTTAAAAAATCAAAATTAGACAAAATAGTCCCAAACTCATATTTAAAAAAAAAAAAGCAAGAAGAAATGTGTTTACCATGGAGTGCATAGAGCAAGCTCCCTTTGGGCATGAATGGATACACCAAAAGCTTCTCTTCTTTGCGGTAATAATAAGCCAAAGGGGTTATGATGTTTTTGTGCCTTAACCCGCCAAGCCGCCGAAGCTCCCCGTCGAACTCTTCAATCCCCACTCCGTTCATTTCTTTCACTCTCTTCACCACCACCGCCGTCCCGTTCGTCATCGTCGCCTTGTAAGATGACCCCGTCGTCCCATTCCCGACCACCACCTCCGCCGCCGCCGTCATCAGATCCGGCAACCCGAACTCGCCTTTCTCCTCGTTCACCATCACCAGCTCCCCCATCCCCGACCCTCTCCCCCTTCTGCCGCTGCGCGACCCTGTTCGGCCCGAGCTGCCGCTCCTCCGGCTGCTTTGCTCGCCGCCGGCAACCGACGGGTCCTCCGGCTGGAGCATCATGGTTTCGAACCTCTCCTGCCTCCGTTTCAAGACCGCTATTCCTATCAGCATCAGGAGGAGTATGACGCCGGAGGCTGCCATTATTCCGATAGACACGTGTCTCGCCCTACTGTCATCTCCGATCGCCGCCGCCGCCGTGGTTCCGTTGGTCGAGACCTTGCTGTTTCTTGACCCACCGCCGCTTCCGTCCGACACCGTGGTTCCGTTTGCCGAGATCGTGTTGTTCCTTGGTTCTCCCTCCGTGTCGTCGTCGGCTCTGCTATTCAAAACCATTTCTTGGCAAGGCTTGCCTAAAATTTGTATGCTACAAAGTCCGGGGTTCCCTTTGAAGGAAGAATCGTTGAATTTCGATGATAAGCTGGCCGGAATTTCTCCTCGGAGATTGTTGTTGGAGAGGTCTAACGATGCCAGCGTCCTCTGTTTGAACTCCGGTATCTCGCCGGAAAATCGGTTGTTCTCCAGGTGGATTTCCAGAATCCGAGGTAACCCGGCGAGGGAAGAAGGGATTGGGCCGGTGAATTTGTTGTCCGAGAGCCACACTTTCTTCAGGGACCCCATGTTGGCGAAGAAATCGGAGGGGATTTCGCCGGAAAACTGGTTCCTCGAGATGTAGAGCGCCTTGAGAGCGCCGATCTGGTTGAACTCCGGGATGGGTCCGGCGAAAGAATTGTGGATCAGATACAGAGTCCTGAGGCCGGGAATTTGGGACAGAGCTCCGACGTCAATTTTCCCGGACAGACCCATTCCGCCGAGACGGAGGCCGGCGACGATGTTGTTTATGCAAATCACGCCGGCCCATTGCCGCCTCACGTCGCAGGGGTTCGTTCCGGCCTTCCAAGAAGACAGGGCAGCCGTGTTTTTTAGCGATTTCTTCAATTTCAACAGCGGCTCCGCGTCGGAAAAGGATTTCGCCGGCATTGGCACATTGATCAAGAAAGCGCAGACGAGGAATACCAGCGTTGTGGTCGCGAAAGACATTGATTTTTCATTGGCGAATGCTTTGGAAACGACGACGAGGACGGCGATTATAGGATCCGTTTTTCAATTGTTTTTATTACGGAGTAAATTTTTATTTTGGGTTTCATTTTGTTTTTTCTTTGGGGAATGATGAAATGGAGGCTTGGAGGACTGTACCCGAACAAAGCTGAGAATGAGGAAGCCCATACATTTAAATTTTGAAGAATTTATCTCTAAAACTTTCTCGAGCTTATGTTTTTATTTAAAGTATTGGTTATTACTCGCATTCGTTAATGATTATTCAAGTCAAATGTGTATTATCATTAGATTTTATTTTTCTCAGTAGACATTATTTGAGTCTTACATTAAAAAATTAATTATATTTTAATCTTATTTAGTTTTTACTTTTTTAAAACTAAAATTTTGTTGTGTATCCATCTTTGCCCTTCACAATCACACGCTGGCTTCAATTCTAATTTTTGCTTCCTTTTAGTTTAGATTTTCTTTACAGAAAAAGAATAAAGTAAGATTAAACATTGAAAATATATTAAAATAGGATTTTTATGTTTTTATTCTCGAAATAGAAATTAAAACGCATTTATATTACCAAACGTGGTCATGCACATTACTAAAAAGTATAATAATGTGCACGTATACAGTGTCACATTACCTCCACGCTACCAAAGTGTGTATTTCTATTTTGAAAATAAAAAAATGAAAATCCTATTTAAGTACTTTATCTATGTTTTAGTCTTATTTAGGGTGATTTATATTTTCTTTACATATTTAGTGATAATATCAATCATTATCTTCTCCTTGTTAAGAAAAATATGAATTGTTCATTTATCAATTATTTAGGTTTTGTTCCATCATAGTTGCAGGAACAAATTGTCTATCATCACCATCAAGTTGTTATTTGTATAGTATTGATGGACAATAAATCCACCAAACGATCCGATTTACTAAGCGGATCGTAAGAACCAAATTAAGAACGAGAATTCGAGAATTGGATATGTTTTTATTAGCTTGATCTAGCTTGAGTTTTCCCCTTTCAGGTCCCCTCTATTTATACATGGGTTCTTGATAATTAAGGTAATTCACAATCACAGGGAGTCCACTCCATCGATGACGCGATCCCCTTTTCCCGGCTTCGTAACGGCCAATTTGCTCCGTCTCCTTCTCCGGGTTGACTCTGCCAGCTGCGTTTGGCATGAGATTGATTGGGCCTAATTCCACGGGCTGGCCCAAGCTTGAATGTTTTACAGGTGCCTGACCCGGGGTTGTGTAAATGATTCATTCAGGCCGCCCACTGGTTATCGGCCCATCATGAGCCCCCCAACTCCTTAGTCCTCAACTGGGCCGAGTGGAGGAGTGGGGAGTTTTCAAAGTCCACGTGGGCGCTCCAGCGGGGATCCGGGTCGTTCCTTGGGTTCCGCATGACGTCTGGGCACGATCTCCACAAATAGGTAATCATGACCCGCCGATTCGCCTCCCTGCTGTCAGTTAAAAACCGCCGCTGGACGCCACCTTTTCCCTTCGCCTTCTTCACCATTATCCGTCTGCAATTCCGCTGCTTCCCCAACCCGTTCTTCTTTCTCTCCAGGTCAGTTCCCTTTCTCGCTGCCATGATTGTTTCAGATTCCGATTCGGCTACCCCATCGTCCAATTCTCGCCAAGCCGATCAATCGGCCTCTGGCCGTAACCCCGGCCGCACTCCATCGCCCCAGCCGTCGCCGTCGGCCGTTCCTGGTCACCAACGGCGCCGATTGAGGAAGCAATTCCCTTCCTCAACTCCGGTGGATGAGGGGTCGAGGGTTAGGTTGGACGAGAACATCATGGCGTTGTGCCATTGTCAGATTACTGACCGGGGGTTCGCCGATGCTACCGACATGGTTGGCCCCTCCATCGAGGTCAGGAGACCTACCGGTACTCAAACTGCTCTAGATGCACCCTCGGGGTTCTTCACGGTCCATCTGGCGTCTCTGAAGAAGGGGCTGCGCTTTCCACTCCACCCTTTGTTGGTCGAATACCTCAACGAGGTGGACCTTCTCCCGTGCCAACTGGTCCCCAATTCTCACCGGTACATCGCCGGTTACTTGGTCCGGTGTAAGGCTGTGGGGGTGAAACCAACCTTGGACCATTTCATATTCACCTTCAAACTCACCAAGGGCCAAAAGGATTGGGCGTCCTATGCCAGCCTTTCCCAGAGATCCAGTAAACTCTTTGCGAGTGACAAAAAGGGCTCAACCAAGGACTGGAAGCCTTTCTTTGTCTTCGTTTCGACGGGGCCCGAATCTCCTTTCACGGGTTCAGGGCGCCCTTCCTTCCGCTGCATCCCATGCCCCCGAGCTGATGCCACCCTCCTGTCCATCACTCGCCAACTCTGCAATAGGGGAGTTATGAACATCAAGGAGGTGGTGACAGAGGAAACCCTTGCCGGGTTTGGGTTTGAGTTTGTCCCAGATGAGCTTCGCCATCAACCCGACCTACTGAGGGACATCCCCGGGGGGCGTCAGCCTGACCAGCCGAAGGACATTCCTAAGGAAGGTCTTGACTGTGGTCCTTTTGGTAATTGACCTTTCTTGTCCACCCACATGTTTAGTTTATCCTTTTCCGAGGCTGATCATTTTCTTTGTTTCCAGTGGAACTACAAGATTCAGGTGAAGAGATGGACAGCGAACTCCTGCTTAGTCGCTTCACTGCTGGGAGGAAGAGGAAGAGAGAGACGAGGGGCCAGGGCAAACGCTCTTCGTCCCGCCACGAGGAGGGTCCTTCTCAGGAGCCGGCTGTGATCGTGGTGGAGGACCGGGATGAAATTGCCCTGGAAACGGGTACAATGACTGGTCATTCCCCACCCCCCCACTCTGTGAGGCCAGGTGGCGACCTAGCTGGGTCGTCCCCGGGTATCGCCTCGGAGCGACCTCCTTCGCCTCCCGCAGTGACCTACGAGGTGGCGACTGGTGGTCGCTCGACGAGACTCTGCATTCCTCCTCTGCCCCAAAACTTGGGGGACGTGCAACTGGAGACCTTGATCACCCTGCCCGCGGAGGACCAAGCCCGCATCTCGGCCGGTTCTGAGGACAACCTCGATAACATGGTCCTCTTGAGGCTAAGCCAGGTATTTGCGCTGTTTCTCTCTGCACTCGTTTTCTTCTTTTTACGCTCTTGACCCCCATGCCTTGGTGCAGGCCACGCTGGGGATGATCGAGGTGGTTGGCAGGAGACGGGGTCGTCAGGCCGCTGCGGATGAGGCGATGAAAGCAGCCGAGGCCAAACAGGGGGAGCTGCAGGAAGAGGTCGCCCGGCTCATGAGGGAGTTGGAGGAGGAGAAGGATCGCTGCGCTGCGCTTGCGGTGGAGAAAACTTCCCAGGAGAGCTGCTGTGCCGCCCTTGAAGCAGACAAGGCCTCCTTGTCCTTGGAGGTAGAATCTGTTTCTGCCCGCGTGCTTGAGCTGGAGGGGGAGAAGTCCGATCTGATCCAACAGCTGGAAGTGGAGAGGGGCGACCGAGCCCGCTATGCAGTGGAGGCAGTAGAGTCCTTCAAGTCCTCCCCTGACTTCACGGTGGTCGCGATGGAGCGGATGGTGGAGCTGACAGCCGCCTGGCTCAAAACCGAACCTGGGGCCCAATGGATGGTCAAGGAAGGGACCAAGTCCTTCAACTGTGGTCTCTTCCGCGCCCAACAGGTCTTCCGTGCTAGGCTGGCTCAGCTCCCCAAGGGATTCTCTCTTCCCGACCTTGGCTTCCCTCCTTCCTGTCGTTCCTTGGCCGAGTTCGACCCCAGTCCTTTTCTGGACGGGGGAGCTCGAGTGCGTCGGAAGAAGTGGAAGAAGAAGAAGTGGAAGGCGATCAAGGTGACCAGGATCAGGGGACCAGCTTAGCCACCTCCAAGGCGGGTGAAAATCCCAACACGAGCGTCTAACTTCTCCTGTTGTTCCCCCAGAGTTTTGTAGACATTGTTGTTGTTTTTTCTTTCTTTTTGGAATGACTTGTCGTTTTGATACAATGCTCCTTCTATATTATTTGACTCGTTGGATGCATCATACGCCTCCTTTCTTCAGCGTTTTACTCTCTTCTCTAGGTTAGCTGATCTGCATGTATGTTTTAATTTGGGCCCTACTCTTAATTCCGGCCCACTTGACTGCCCAGGGCCAATATCAGGATTGGCCAGCATGCCGCCCAACTGACCCAATGCTTTTCTCAACCCCTGATTGGTCCTTCGCGCGGCTCAAAGCTACTTTATCGGTTCAGCTGCCTTGAGACCTGATCGTCTCTTCGGTTCCTTCGCCTGGGCCTATTTATAAGCCCCTTAACCCTCATTCTGTTCCATCGCCAAATAGTTTCCCTTTCTTCATTATTGCTATGTCTGAAGGAATTCCTGTCTCCCTGAACCTTTCCGATGGGCCGGCTCTCTCTTCGCCGGAGCCTGCCTCCTCCCCCAAGTCAATCAATTCTAATGACTGGGGGGGCTAGACCCTTACGAATTCTGCCGTCGATTGCCTCGCCGGCAGTGGCCGTTGGTGAAACCGCCGCCACAACCGCCAAACCCTTATGATGACTTCAGTGAAGCATACAAGGCCCTCTCCGCCAACCGCCTGCCTGACGGAAGGATTGACTAGACGCTACATGCCCCCTCCATTCCTTGCAATGCATGGCCTGGGAGAGATTTCAAGATGAGCACTTACCCCTCCTGGAGCATGAGTGCGCATACTACGCCAGTCTCGAACGATGGACTAGCGAAAGTCGCACCAGCTCGCCGGTGAGGCCTAAGGAGGAGGTTGTGTTTGGGGAAGAACTGGATCCCAGTCCACCTCGCCCCTCCAACCGTGCGACTTCCCAGAGAACCCGTAGGCGACCTGGAGTAGCTCGATCGGCTTCAGGATCTCCATCCTCATCTAGGTGATGCTGGTTGGGGTTCTGGGGGCGACTGACCCTGTTCCGCGTTGGGGAAGAAAGGTGGTTGTCCCGGACGGCCGGTGACCGGAGTCCCGCCGGCCAATGGAGCTGCAGAACTACCCTTCAAACCTGCCTGTCCCCCCTAAGCCTTTTGCTCGCAAAGCTTTAGATTGTTCCTTTTGCTATAAGAAAAGTATGGAAAAGTATCCCTCCTTTATGTAGAGATTGTTCTCCAACGTGTTGTAGTTGTAGCAGATGCAAAAGATTATCCTTGAAATGTAACAAACACTTTTGTGAATGCATTTTGATGTTACCTGTTTACTTACAAGTCCCATCTCCTTCTCTTTCGCATCCCACTTTTATGCGTTCAGGTTTCCTCTGACTTAAGTCGGAGAACACCTCGCCTTTTTTGACTTAGCCATTTCCGGGGTATTTTATCCTCCTTCAGCGTCGTCATATCTCCCTGACCCCCTGGTCGCTCATGCGACCAGCAAGCCTTTACATTCCTGACTTAACCATTTTCTTGGGCGCTTCGGCGTAGCCTTCACCCTTGGTCGCTCGACAGGGTTCGACGCTTCGCCCACTACTGGGTATCTTAGCGCGAATCACCGTGCAGTTTAGGCTTTAGCGATCTCTCTTGGTCGCTCCTTTTTTTTTTGAGAATTGAAAACAAGGTATGCCAGAATGCTGGTTTTATTAAATTTCAAGATAGACGCATAGCCGGAATACAATCTACTGATAGAATTTAACAAGGTTGGCGGCATTCCATACTCGAGGAACGTCGCCTCCGGCCGGGGTTTGCAATCTAAACGTCCCATCAGCCAAAACCTCCTTTATAATGTATGGCCCCTCGAAACTTTTAGCAAACTTCCCTCCATCGATCGGTCGGCTGACTTCCCTTTTCCGAAGGACCTAGTCGCCCACCTGGAACTTCCTTGGTCGTACCCGCTGGTCGTGATATGACTTGACCTGTCGGCGATAATTTTCTGCTCGCATGTATGCCCTTTCCCTTCGCTCATCAACGAGGTGCAGTTCTGCCCTCAAGTTCTCCTCATTCTCTTGTGCATCAAACATCTCCACTTTATAGCTCAACAATGAGGTCTCTACTGGAGCCCTTGCTTCAAATCCATATGTGAGCGAGAAAGGAGTTTCACCTGTGGCCTTCCTTGGGGTAGTCCTGTAGGTCCACAAGATGTAGGGCAATTCCTCCACCCAGGCACTTTTGCATTCCATTATCTTCTTCTTGAGACCGTCCATGATGGTGCGATTGGTGTTCTCGACCTGTCCATTGGTTTGAGGGTACCCGACAGCTGCATAGCTGTGACCTATGCCCCAACTCTGTAGAAACTCATTGAACCCTCCGGCCTCGCATTGGGTTCCGTTGTCAGNTGTGCATCAAACGTCTCCACTCTATAGCTCAACAATGAGGTCTCTGCTGGAGCCCTTGCTTCAAATCCATATGTGAGCGAGAAAGGAGTTTCACCTGTGGCCTTCCTTGGGGTAGTCCTGTAGGTCCACAAGATGTAGGGCAATTCCTCCACCCAGGCACTTTTGCATTCCATTATCTTCTTCTTGAGACCGTCCATGATGGTGCGATTGGTGTTCTCGACCTGTCCATTGGTTTGAGGGTACCCGACAGCTGCATAGCTGTGACCTATGCCCCAACTCTGTAGAAACTCATTGAACCCTCCGGCCTCGAATTGGGTTCCGTTGTCAGTGATGATCTGCTGGGGCACCCCAAATCGACACAAAATTTGCTTGGAAACGAACTTCGTCATCTGTTCTGCGGTGATGGTCGTACGGGGGTGGCCTCGACCCACTTGGTGAAGTAGTCGATTGCGACCACCAGATATGTGTTGTTTCCTGTTCCTCGAGGCAAGATACCGACCAGATCGATGCCCCACCGAGCAAAGGGAATCGCCGTGCTGATCGGGGTATAATGTGTCGCCGGTCGCCCCGGCACCCTCTGGAACTCTTGGAAAACCTTGCATTTACGCACATACTCTGCACAATCTCTAATAATCGTTGGCCAAAAGTATCCTTGCAAGGTTACTTTCCTTGACATCGTGATGGCTCCTTGATGTGCTGAGCATATTCCTTCATGGATTTCTTCCATCAGCTTCTGAGCCTCGCTCGCTCTTAAGCACCTCAACAGTGTACCATTGTACGATCGCTTGTACAAACGACCGCACTCCAGCGTGTAGCTGGGTGCACGTCGCTTCACCACCTTGGCTGCGATCGGGTCGGCAGGTAGCGACCCGTCAAGGATGTACATGGTAATCTCATCAATCCAGTCCGGCTCTTCTCCGAGTGTGACGATCAGTACTTGTCCGGGACTGATGCTTGGCTCGAGCAACTCCTCTTCTTGGGTCATCGCCCTGATGTGATCCGGAGAATCCGGGCCAAGCTTTGACAGGATGTCAGCCTCAGCGTTTTCTTCCCGAGGGACCTGCTCTATCCGGTACGCCCCAAATGCTTTAAGCAACTCTAGGGCAGTGTCTCTATACTTCTTCATTCGCTAATCCTTGGCCTCAAATTCTCCAGTGACATGGCCTACCACCAGCTTGGAATCACACCGAACCTGGATCCGTTCAGCCTTTAATGTAGCTGCCAACCTCAAACCACAGAGTAGGGCCTCATATTCGGCCTCATTGTTCGAGACTTTAAACCGAAACCTCACATAATAGTATGCTTTGAAACCTTCTGGTGATATCGCCACAACACCACCCCCCGAAGCATCAGTCGCGGACGACCCATCGGTGTACACCAGGAACACCCCCCACTTGCTGACTCGTGATGGAGCGTTTGGGCTGCGAAGAAGTGTTCCAATGGGAATTTGCGATAACACGTGGACCGGATGGGCTTGAAAATATGGGGTAAGGTTTTTTTACCGTACACACCACCGCAAAGATGGTTTTTTCCATGTTTGTATATCTCAGCTCCGCCCCTCGTAACACCCGTGCTACGTAGTATACTGGTCGCTGTACGCCCTCCTCTTCCCTCACTAGCACCGAGCTCACAGCTCGAGGAGAGATTCCTAAGTATAAGGATAAGGTCTCTCCGGGCTCTGGCTTCGAAAGCACCAGCGGGGAGAGAAGGTATGCTTTTAACCCTTCAAAAGACCGCTGACATTCTTCGGTCCAGACAAACCCTCTGCTCTTCTTTATGGTTTGAAAGAAAGGAGCCGCTCGATCAGCTATCTTTGACAAGAAGCGACTGAGAGCAGCAATCCTGCCGGTCAACTGCTGGACTTCCTTCACATTCCGCGGGGGTTCCATCTCCAAAATTGCCTTTACCTTCTCAGGGTTAGGCTCGATCCCTCTCCGGCTGACCATTTGTCCCAGAAATTTACCCCCCTGAACCCCAAATGTGCACTTCTTGGGGTTAAGGCGAAGCTGGAACTTTTTCATGATCTTGAATACTCTCTCCAGGTCGCCGGCATGAGACTCCGTTCGTTTGGACTTGACGATCATGTCGTCCACATACGCTTCCATGCATCCTCCTAATACCGGTGCGAACAGCTTGTTCACCATCCGCGCATAAGTAGCCCCAGCATTCTTCAGACCAAAGGGCATCACCTTGTAACAGTACACCCCATTGGGGGTAATGAAAGCGGTCTTCTCTTCATCCGCCACGACCATCTTAATCTGATGGTACCCACTGAATGCGTCCATAAAACTCATTAGCTCACACCCTGCCGTCTCATCGACCAACTGATCAATGTTGGGGAGAGGAAAAGGATTCATCGGGCAGGCTTTATTTAGATCGGTGTAGTCTACGCACATCCGCCAGGTATTCCCTTTGGGTGCGAGGACTACATTTGCCAGCCATTCCGGGTAACGGACTTCCCGGATGTGCCCAATGGATTGTAGGGTGGTCACCTGCTTGGTGACAAATTCTCTCCGTTCTGAAACGCTTCTTCTGTTTGACCGGCTTGTAGGTCGGATCCACCGCCAATCTATGGCAGATGATCTTTGGGTCGACCCCTGACATATCCTCTGGCCCCCAAGCAAATAGCACCTTGAATGCGCGGAGGACCTCCAGTAGCTGCTCCTTTAATTCCAGCGGCAAGGTCTTGCCTACCTTCACCTTCCGCTCTGGGTCGACCGGATCCAGAGAAACTTCCTCGACCTCTTCCGCTGGCTCAGCTCGCGGTCGCCCCTCCTCCTTCTGGATTGCAGCGCAGATCGTGCTTACATTCTCGTCGACCCGGGCTTGGCTTTTGGTTACCCTGACGTAGCACGACCGTGACAGGCTTTGGTTTCCCTTGGCCACCCCCACTCCCGTGGGAGTGTTGAACTTGAGGCATAGGTGGGCCGGGGAGATCACGCACTCCAAGTCCTCCAACCCTGGTCGCCCCAGGATCAAATGGTGTGCACAATCGAGCTGCACTACCATAAATTCCATGTCGACCCAGAGTCGGTGGGTGCCATCTCCTACCCCAGCCTTCACCGTGATGGTTCCTTCAGCCTCTATAGTATCCCCTGTGAACCCTGATAGTGGTGTATGGATTGGTTTCAGGTCACTCCGGGACAACCCCAACTCCTTAAAGGTGTTGCTGTACATGACGTTGACCGAGCTACCCGTATCGACCAAAGTTCGGTGAACAACCACATTATTGATCTCCACCTTTATCACCAGAGCATCCCTATGAGGGCTGAGGACTGGGGGATAATCCTCGTCTGTAAAAACCAGGGGTTCTTTCTTCTTCCGCTTTGGTAGCGGCGGCCTCTGTACCTCGGCCAGATACACCATGTTCTTCCATTTCTTCCGGGAGGATACTGAATCTCCCCCCGTGTTTCCTCCCATGATGAACCGGCACCCCAGGTGTCGGCGGCCTTGCCTTTCTTCTTCATCTAGGTCCTCACAGTCTCGCCCTAGATGTCGCCGCCCATCTTCCTGCCCTTCCCCCGCTGTGATCGCTGCCGCGGGAGCTGATGGCCTCCTCCAGGTCCGGTTACTCGAGGGTGGTCGGTCCGCCCGAGGAGGTGGCCCCTTGCAATCAGCTGATCCATCTCCTTCTTCAACGTAACGCACTCCGACGTAATGTGGGTGCTGTTACGGTGGTACTCACAGTATTTGGGTGCATCTTGCACACCATAGCTTTCCCGACTATGAGGAGGGGCAGGCAACGACTGTACCGCGTGAACAGGATGTCTGTTCGCATGATATCCGGTAGGGTTTGGCCCCTTACCATAGTCCTTTCTCTTCTTCCCTTCTGCCACCGGTGGTCCGCTTTTCTTCTCCTTCCGGACTGGTGGCTCATCATCTTCTTCTTCTAACGCCAAGTACTTCGCCCTGGCCAACATCTCCTGGTAGGTTGAGAGAGGATTCCGTCGCAGCTCCTTGCGCACATCCCCTTGGGGGAGTGCAGCTTGGAGCATGGCGATCAGGGCCTGGTCGTCGGCCTCCTTCTCCCACCTGTTTATGAATTCTCGGAGCTGTTCCCCCTTCCGGATCTTCACATTGAGCAGATGCGAGAAGGGGAGCTTCTGTCTTCGGCTGGATGCGAAGTGCTCCAAGAACTTGTGGGCCAGGTTGCTCCACTTGTCTATCGACCCTTTGGGCAACTTGTGGAACCATTCACAAGCTTGCCCTTCTAGTGTTGCCAGGAAACATCTACACTTGATCTCTTCTGGGTACGCGTACATGACCACGTTAGCCCCGAAGCGGGCGAGGTGGTCCTGGGGATCAGTCGTCCCGTTGTACGCCTTGATTTGGGGAGTTTTGAAATTATCTGGGAGGGGACATGACATTATCCTTCTGGAGAAAGGTGTTACCTCACTGAAGACCGTTTGGCGATAAGGGTTTTGGGCGTCCAGACGCTTCTCCAGTTGTTCGTACATTTTCCACAGCTCAGCTGCGCCCTTATCGGTCGTCCGTCGCTCCTCAGAGCTGACCTTGGAGGTCGCTGTGGACTCCCCTCTCTTCTCCTTGAGCGTGTCCCTCAAGTCGCCTTTTCGGGCCGACCGAGTGTCCTGCAGCCGTTCGAACGCAGAGGTCCGAAGTTTCTTTGACTTGGGGTCTCCCAAACAGTCAAAGGCAGACATCCGCTCAAAGGAGGACGACCCGTCCTCCTCGTCCAACCTGGAAAGCGCATCCGCCATCACGGCTTTCCCATTAGGCTTGGTCGCCTTCTTCTTCTGGGATCGCCTTACTTTCTTCTTTTTCCCTTGGGAGCCCGCGGGTCCAGCCTTCCCACCTGTGGGTCCCCCGGCCACTTCTTCTACCACAACCTCGCGGTTGGGTGCAAGTGCAGCCATCACCTCTTTGAACTGTTCGGCCGTGATTCCAACCCTCTGAATGAGGGCCTCTGCCTCTCCGGTAGTGATGGGAGGGTTCCGACCTCCAGTGGTGCTGTTCTCCCCCTGTTGGGGAGCTCCGGTACCCACATTGGCATTGCTGCGTGTTTGCACCATCGTCTTAATGGAGGATTTCCTCTGAGTATGACTCTCGAACTCTCAATGAAAGCACCAATTTGATGGACAATAAATCCACCAAACGATCCGATTTACTAAGCGGATCGTAAGAACCAAATTAAGAACGAGAATTGGATATGTTTTTATTAGCTTGATCTAGCTTGAGTTTTCCCCTTTCGGGTCCCCTCTATTTATACATGGGTTCTTGATAATTAAGGTAATTCACAATCACAGGGAGTCCACTCCATCGATGACGCGATCCCCTTTTCCCGGCTTCGTAACGGCCAATTTGCTCCGTCTCCTTCTCCGGGTTGACTCTGCCAGCTGCGTTTGGCATGAGATTGATTGGGCCTAATTCCACGGGCCGGCCCAAGCTTGAATGTTTTACAGGTGCCTGACCCGGGGTTGTGTAAATGATTCATTCGGGCCGCCCACTGGTTATCGGCCCATCAAGTATGTATACTATTTATAATAGTGTTGCCACTAGGTCTCTCTACTATAAGTAGGAGACCACTAGAAACAAAGGGATAGAAGAGGCCACCAGAGAATTATATAAAGGTGAACGTGATGTGGGCCTGGGATTTATTACGCGAGATTATGAAGGTCGATTCGTAGCTGCTAAAAGTATTAAATGTAGAGAGAGTTTTGGTTCACGTGAAGCAGAAGTCATCACAGTTAAGGAAGCACTTAGTTGGATTAAAAATAAAGGCTGGAAACAAGTCCTTGTGGAAACAGACTGCAAAGAGGTGGTCGATTCACTTAATAGTACTATTAGGGATTGGTCTTACTTTAACTCTATCATTGAAGATTGTAAGCATCTCCAAATGTTCTGCTTTGTGCAGGAGATCTTAGTTTTTGTTTTACTCCTTGTTCCGGCAACGAGGCAGCGCATTTGTTAGCGCGTAGTACTTGCTATGATGATGTTGTAGGGGAGTGGCTTGACACACCCCCAAACTTTATTCCCTTGATTTCCTAATTTAATTGCTTTGTTTCAAAAAAAATAAGTAGGAGGCTTAGGATCTCTGCAAATTACCATTAAGAACAAGAAGAAGAGTAAATAATTAATAGAGTGAAGATATTAGAAATATATCATATTTATCTTCATAATCTCTGTGTAGTTTTTCTCCCATTTTATAACATGTTATCAACACGAATTTGCTTAAAATCCGAAAAACCTTGTTCTTCTCTAAGGTATATTTTATCAAAAACTTTTTTACATATTTCATAAAAAAAATTTAAATACGAGAAATATGATCTGTGATTACCTAATATTTGAGATCCTTCACATCAGAAAATCATATTTTTGATAAATTAAAACAATATGTAGAATTTAATACGAAGTAGCTAAGATAAAAAAACAAATAATATTTAATTTCATTTTGAAACTACTCTTGAATCCTGCAAGCTAAGATGTAAAAACAAAATAATAATAATAATAATAATAATAATAATAATACGGAGTAATAATTTAGATTAGAAAATAAGAATGTTACCTTTAATTTAATATATATATATATATATATATATATATATATATATAGACACACACACTTATTTTTCATTAAATAGGTAATTGCATATAGTTGCATATAACATTTTTTAGGAGACAAAGTTTTAAGAGAGAGAGAGAGAAAGGTTTATCTCACCTCTAAATCTTTTTACTCTGTATATGTCTTCTTTTTCTCGGTAAGGTATGTGAGGGAGAGGAGAGACCATTTTCTTTTGCTCCACTACTATAGTCTATATAGAGAGGCTAGAACTTAATAATAAATACGGTAAAATCATTGGGGGAAATGCACCACAGCCCCCCTATGGTTTCAAAAAGGAGCTCTAACACCCCTCGTGGTTTTAAAAGTAGCTTATAATATACCTCTGGTTTGTAAAGAGTGCACATGTACCCCATCTGGAAGTAACTTATACTATTTTTTTAAATCAATTTTTTTCTTAATTTCTCAACTTTGTTCCTCTATTATTTTTTTTAAATCAATTTTTTTCTTTATTTCTCATAATTGAATAACAAAAAAAATTATAGAAACTAGCAAATTAATTACATATAATGAAACAAACAATCTAATAATGATAAAATTCATAAATAAAATAATTATTTATTGACTTTAAAAAATGCACCATACACCGAAATTAAAATAAGAAGTAAAACACAACAAATTTATTGATAGAGTACATATAATTTATTCATTCATAAAAATAAGGTTACAAAACACATGTCATAACTAATTTATTTTGTGAAATTCATAAAACATAAACTTAGACATAATTGAAATCCATGATATAGCTATTGTTCATTGTGACGTCGCCATGGTCGGTAGTCCATGTTATTCAGATTTCGTAGTCGGTAGTTTAAAGTCAATAAATAATTATTTTATTTATGAACTTTATCATTATTAGATTGTTTGTTTCATTATATGTAATTAATTTGCTGGTTTCTATAATTTTTTTTGTTATTCAATTATGAGAAATAAAGAAAAAAATTGATTTAAAAAAATAATAGAGGAACAAAGTTGAGAAATTAAGAAAAAAATTGATTTTAAAAAAATAGTATAAGTTACTTCCAGATGGGGGGTGCATGTGCACCCTTTACAAACCATAGGTATATTATAAGTTACTTTTAAAACCACGAGGGGTGTTGGAGCTCCTTTTTGAAACCATAGGGTTGTGGTACATTTACCCCTAAAATCATTTAAAAAAAAGTAACATAGTCAACAATTGTTATTTTATCTATGCGTTTGTCTTCTAACATACGGAGTATATGTAGTGTTTCGGACCGGCCCTGCTCACTCTTTGATCAGATCAATCGGATCGATTTCAATTTGAAAAAATTTAGTTTGAATATATGTTATAATTTGTTTGGTTTGGATCGAATCGGTTAAAGTTTGGTTCGAATTTAATTTTCTTTTATACAATATTCGGTTTCGATTTCGAGTCAGTTCAGATTCAGTTCGGATGTCAATCAGTTTTACTCAATTTCAGTTTTAGATACATTCCGATTCAGATATAGTTTGATTCGGATATATTTCGTTTCAGGTATACTTCGATTTTGAATATATTTGCATATATGTTATTTTTAATTAAAATTTAATTATTAGTTCATTTTTTGTCATATCGCATTTATCGATATATTGCCAATTCATCACCTCATATTACTTCATACTTCATTCATCCTAAATATCTTCTATTTTTATCTTTTTAGTCATCTTTTATAAATTTGGATTCGGAATTATGAAAGAAAAGTATATTTAGGTCTAATATAAAATTAATATAATTGGATTACCAAATTATGTGTAGTTTAGTTAAAATTTATTGAAATTGAGTGAAATGGATAAAATTTAAGTGAAATTAAATGCGATTCAAAGCACATGTTTGGCCAACCACACAATATTTGATGGGAGAGGGTGAAATATCATTTTTTTAGCTTATATAAATTTTAACTAACATTTTTTATGAAAGTTGTAATGTACATTTTTATACCAACTTCTAAAAAAATAAATTTAAAGCATATAAAATTTTACATTTTGTTTAAATATGGTAATTCATTTTGTACATAGGAAGTAACTGATACTTCGTATAAGTATATTAGTAGTTCAAATGATAAACTAAATATTTAAAATCACAATAATGTAATTGTTCACTAATGTACATAAATATAATATGTTTATTATCAGAAAAAATAATTTTCGAATAGCCGGTTTTTTATCTTATCGGTTTCGAATCTAATCGGTTTAAGATATATTTCAGTTTTGGATATAATTGGTTTCAGATCTAATCGGTTAAATCTAATCGGTCATGGATATAATTAATTCATATCGGTTATTCGGTTATAATTCGGATCATTACTTTTTCGGATCACTTCGATTTCAATTTCAAATCATTTAATACGGGTAATCGATTCTCGAACTATTCCAGGTCTAGTAATGCACGCCATCAGGAAATCTTGACCTTTTTGACTTGCCCTAGTGTATGCCTTTATTTTTTTTCAAATTCCTTCCTCGGTCACCCAACTTTGATTACACAGAAATTAAATTTCCAATATCTAATTGGAGAGGAATACACATCATCTGCAATCCTTAACATAAAATAAAACATTATATATCAAATTCAAATGAAAATTGAATGAGCCAATCAAATTCAAACACAGTGCAGACTAATTTTTTACTGCTTCGAAATATTTGCTAGAAAAACAGATAGACTAGCTTTTAAAAAAATGAGCATATATAGCATGCTATTAAGATTTGCTGCATAATGAAGGTCAATTACAGTAACCAAAAACAGAGATGCTCACCCTTAGCTCTTCATAGACAATCTCAACATAAAGGCACAATTAACAAGAGTAGACATCCAGTGCTAGTAACTCTTCCAAAACTGTTAACTCATCCAACCATAGGTTCTCGGGAGTCTTTTCTTCCAATTCAACCACTTCTCTAGAGTCTATCTTGTTGGGTTATTCGGTGAAGGCTTTAGAGCTGTGGGCTTTAAGCCTGGTCGGCTAAAGGGAAGAAACATGGGGGGCCGGTTTTAGTTATTAATTAAAGGGCCCATTAGTTGTTTCTTGTTTAGCAAGTTGTTAACCCTAGTTTATATCTTATAAATACCCAATCATGTAACTATAATCTGTGAGCACCTAATAAAAGATAAACCCTAGTTGCAACCCGTGGAGTAGTTTACTGACCGAACCACGTTAAATCTCGTGTTCTTATTTTCTGCTATTTGTGTGTGTGTGTTTGTTCGCTTCCGCTTGACCGCCTCTGATCTCTGATTCCTAACAAGTGGTATCAGAGCCTTGGTTCGGTTAAACACACGGTTACACAAGATCAATCGCAGGAAGAAGGCTGTTCAGGATCGTTTTGCTGCCGCGGTTAAGGGGCTGGTTCAGATCTGATCAGGGGCTAGTTCAGATCTGATCAGGGGCTGGTTCGGATCTGATCAGAGGCTGGTTCGGATCTGGTCAGGGGCTGTTCGGTCGGTTTTAGGTGAACTTGGCGATTAGGGTTTCTGGTTTT